CTTTCGTGAAGGTAATTGCATGATCAGGTTTTTTCCGGATAACCAAACCTTATCTCCAATCTTCCAGGGGTGATATTTCTGCCCGTGAGTCCTTTCTGCCATACGTTGCATCGCAAGGTTATGACAAGAGAGCGCTTCTTCTCTAGACTTCTGGAGCGTGCGGAGTCTCTCTTCTGCTGCAGGAATGGTGGAGCTGGAGAGAGTGTGTGGGAGAGCCTGTGGTTCGTATCCCATCATTAGGAAAAACGGTGAGGCATTGCGAGAGTCGTGTTTGTGGTGGTTGTGAACGAATTCTGCCATAGGGAGTTGCTCTACCCAATTTTCTGGGTTGTTTCAACAGTAGATTCGAAGGTACGTTTCTAGTTCTTGATTGAGTCGTTCTGTTTGTCCATCGGTCTGGGGGTGATAGGCGGTTGACACCGCAATGTCGTACTTCAGGAGTTTGGCAAGAGCCTGAGAGAACTTGGATATGAATTGCGGGCCACGATCTGAGATAACCTTTTCATGTAGGCCGAATCGCCGATAGACGTATTTGAAGAATTTGTTGGCGACTCCTTTGGAAGTTATGGTTTTGGTGCATGGGATAAGAATTACCCCCTTCGTAAGCCCATGGTCGACCACGACCATGACAGAGTCAAAACCCGCACAGGGGGGAAGGTCGGTAATAAGATCAACCGAGACCTGAGTGAAAGGAGCTGCAGCGACGGAAGGAATGGGGACAAGGGGGGGGGTCGTCGGATGAGTGTCAGATTTCATTTGCTGACAGAGAGCACATCCCTCAACGTATTTGCGAATATAGGTACCCATAGCGGGCCACCAGAAATCACGCTTAACCAATTCCTCTGTTTTGAAACGGCCAGGGTGGCCGGCAGTGGGATGGTCATGACATTGTTCTAATATGAGGCGTGGTCTGGCGGGGCGGACGTAGGCGCAGTCCTTGTAGTAAAGGATATCGTCCTTGATTTCCCAGTCGGAGAGGGCGGATTTCATGGGGGGAAGTGACAGACCATCCAAGGCATCAGAAGCAGCAGAGAAAATGGGGTCAGGGTCGGAGGGGTCAGGATTAACGAGGGTGGTCATGAGTTCAGTATCAAGGAGTCGAACAAACATGGAGTCTGGTAAGAGCGTTTCGTTGGCGTTATCATCTGAGGAATTTATTCCGTGATCAGGGCGACGAGAAAGGGCATCGGGAGCAACAAGCTTTGCTCCAGCGACGTGATGGAGTTCGATATCGTAGCATGACAGGATTAGCTGCCATCGGGCTTGCCGACGGGTTAATTTCTGAGCGGTTCTGAAATACAGGAGGTTCTTATGGTCGGTGAATACGATGATAGGATGAGGGTTCCCTTCCAGATAATGGCGCCATTCCGTCAATGCACTGAATAACCGCAAGAAGTTCACGATCAAAGATTTGATAGTTTCTTTCTGCAGGGTTCAACGTCTGGGATAGATATGCGCACGGGTGATAGACGCCATTATCATCGGTTTGGAGCAGGACCGCTCCGGTGGCAACGAGAGACGCATCAGTGGCAACAGCAAACTGTCTGGAGGGATCTGGGTTCCAGAGGACTGGTTGCTTCATAAAGCATTTCTTCAGCTCGTCAAAGGCGGATGTGCATCGTTCTGTCCAAAGGAACTTGACGTCTTTCTTAGTGAGATCAATTAACGGTCTGGCGATGTCGGAATAGTGGGAGATGAAGTTCCGGTAGAAATTGCAGAAGCCTAAGAACGACCGGACTTCTTTTACGGTGGTAGGTGTAGGCCATTCCTGAATACCGGTGGTTTTAGCATCGTCCATTGCTACGCATCCAGGACGGATAATCATTCCAAGGTACTCCACTTCCTGAGCATCGAAGGTGCATTTTTCTGGTTTAAGGAAAAGTCTCTCTTGCCGAATTCTTTCAAGGACGCGCCGGGTGCGTTCACGATGGGAAGTGAGGTCGTTAGAAAATATTAGGATGTCGTCCATATATATAATGAGCCATCCTTCGTTAACCTCCTGCTGAAACGTTTTATTCATGTACGCCTGGAAGGTAGCCGGGGAATTGCAGAGACCGAAGAACATAACATTTGGCTCGTAGAGCCTGTATTCCATAGTGAAGGCAGCCTTCCAACGATCTTCTGGGTGGATACGGATATTGTTATATCCTGACCGGACGTCCATCTTTGTAAAATATTTAGCACCATGCAACCGGGCGACCAGGGAGAGCGGTAAAGGGAGTGGGTAGGCGTTCTTGATGGTCCATTCGTTGATGTACCGGTAGTCTTGACAGGGACGAAGATCTCCGCTTTTCTTTCCTACAAAAAAGAAACCGCTAGCCTGCGGCGACTTTGATTCGGAGATAAAGCCTTTCTGAACGTTTTCATCAATGAATGCCTTGACCGCTGACCGCTCTTTCTCAGATAACGGGTATACTTTGGACGTCTTGGGGATAAACCCAGGCTTGGTGTCTATCCGGTGATCTATTCCAGGTCGTTCTGGTGGTAGTTGATTCAGGCTGTCTTTTGCAAAGATATCAGCGAAGTCATGAAGGTAAGAGGGGACAAGTTCTTCGAACGACTTCTTCTTCTGCTCAAGTCCAGCAGCTAACGCAAATTGCTGGGCTTTGTTACTAGTTTTGAGATATTCGGCGGGTTGAGATAGAGGAGTGGTCTTGGGTTGCCGTTGTTCCGAAGCACTAGTCCCGTCTTTCGTTAATGGAGTATCTAATGAGACGTTGGTGATTACCCGAAGCTCGGCGGCATCGGCGGGATACTCGACTAGGAATTCATCATCTTCTAGATGATAGGTCAAGACTTCTCGCACAGGTGGTGCATAGTCAGTTGTCCATACGTCTTCCTTTGTGTCAAAGGAGTCGTCTTCGTCATCAGGTATAGGATCCAGATCAGGCAGTGCCGATGGGACCGCTTCTTCATCGATTATCTCTTCGATCGTGGCGCGTGGTGATTCTTCAGCCATCTTCCTAGGAGGTGCCTTAGGCAGCACTACAACCGGGATTGGTTCCTTTTCTTCTACCCTTTTACGGAAGAGGGGAGGCAGGCCATTCTTCTTTCATTCTCTGTCGACTTCTTCTTCAACTTGGTTACTCTTCTCTGTCCGAGAGAGTTCCAACGTTTCTGCTTTCCAACGGATTATCGGATCCATGGCGCGTAGCCAGGGGATTCCTAACAAAATCTGATCACGTCGGCCAAGCCGCGTGATGTTAAACTTTCCGATCATAGATCGGTCGTCTATCTTGACGATGAGGACGCAATATCTGGTAATAGCGCCTCCCTTCGCATAACTTCCATCTGCAGTAGTGACTCGGAATGGTTTCGAGAGTTTGTGCGTTCGAATTCCATGAGTTTTGACGAACTCTTCGGAAATAAAGGTTCCTGCAGCGCTGGAGTCTACAACAGCTGTTGTTTCGACGGTTTTCAGACGAGTTTTGGAAACAAGAGTAATGGGAACACGGAGTTCTTTTCTAATTCCAATACTTTGTACAAGTCTGATGGGTACTTCGGAAGATATTGACGTCGACCCAGTCTTCCACATCAAAAATCCTCGGCGAGGCGACAGATCGTTGTATCTTCTTCTTCACTGTCGCTCATTTCTTCTCTGCAAACAGGAATCTTCTTCTTCTGGGGACACGCTTTGGTCATATGCCCCTTCTGATGGCACGTAAAGCAGAGCCCTTTCTTCATATGGTCATTTCTCTCGACTTCAGTGAGTCGGTCTACCTCCATAGCATTTGGATCATGTCGGTCAACGGAGGGTCTGGGGACGTAACGTTGTCCTGACGGTCTGGTGGTTGTTCGATGGTTTGATCGATATGCAACCCCTCTTTGGTAGTTACTATCCAGCCGAATAACGGCGGCAACATATTTGTCGAAATCTACTGGAATGGTTTCCATCTGATAGACGGAGTTAACAATCCCTTTCTTCAACCCGTCATTGAAGAACGTGATAAGGACAGCGTCCTGTTTCACAGAAGCTTGTGCAGCAAGTGTCTTGAAACTGGCGATGTAAGACGTGAGGTCGCCTGTCTGTCTCAACGTTCGGAGCTTGTTCATGGCGGTTCCAGTGGCATCAGCAGGTACGAAGGCCTCTTTGAACTTGGTTTCAAAGTTCGCGAAGGTCCTGTAGGTCTTGGCGACGGAGTTGTCAACTTTGGTGTAGAAAGTCAGCGCCCAACCCATAGCGCTTCCTTCTGTTATATAAGCGAGGGCGGTGATGACCTTCTTTTCATCGGTGTTATAGATTGTAGCGTTAAGCGTGAAATACGCCTTAACTGCATACAACCATCGGAGAGCTTGGGAGGGACTTCCATCATAGGTTGATGGGGCTCCGGCTTTCAGTTCTGGAGAGGTGGCGGTTGTTGTAGACATCCTGACATTCTCGTCGAGTGATGTTTCGGTTTCAGGGGAACGTTACTCGTTCTCTCACTGAGTTCTTCTTCTTCTTGTTTCTGTAACCTCCTTGATGAGGAGGGTCGTAGGAGTAGCACTTTAATCTTTTGTTATGGTGAACCGTAGGTCGACTAGGATAGGCTCGACAATAGACACTCGATAAGAGTGACGTCTAAAGCCGGATCGTAACCTCACAAATGTAAGGGTCTTTTAAGACAAGTTAGAGAGAGTGTCTCCGACCTGAATATCGATATCAGATGCTTAGGATTGGGGGTCCTAAGCAAAGGATGTTCTGGGTAAAACCTAGTAGATTAAAGTGAGGTCTATCTAAGTACAGGACCCGGTTTATATAGGTATGGCCTACTTTAGGGCCGGTACGTATTCGTCATCAAGACGAGTCAGAGATAAGGAATGGCGTCATTGAGACGAGTCAGAGATAAGGGATGACGTCATCGAGACGAGTCAGAGATAAGGGATGAGTCAGCTAGCAACGGCGCGAGGCGATCGTGCTGTGATACACAGATATGGAGAGAAGCTAGTCTAGTGATGGCACAGTCTCGTGCGGTCATGACGTAATACACAGATAAGAGAAAAAGTGATAGGGGCAACCGTTACTGTAACATACTGGGCCATATCTGTGTCCATTAATCTACAACAAAGACTGGTCAGTATTGAGACGAGATAGACTTAAATGTATACTTACACCCCACCATTTAATTATGCTCATTCCTAGTAGAGGTTTCATCTCTACAGCATCAACATAGCTTTTAAAGACGGCATACCATGGTCTAGATGGATCCATATGAGTGACAACAGTCTCATCATTGTCATCTTCATCAGAGCTCTGCACCTTGCAAATTAACTTCTTGAATCTGCTAGCCTTGCCTTTCTTGACGAGTGAAGGTTGCGACATGGATGCTGCCTGGCCCAATTCAAGATAGCGAGCCTCAAACTACATGACTTGTAAGTGATTGTAAGCTGGTGAATAACTTTGTCCAACATACCACTTGTTCTGCACAAGCAAGAACTTCATCTTGCAAATCCTTGGGCCAGTTCTTCTTGAAGTACAACATTTTACCTGTCGGATCAAGCACTGCATGGAACATGAGCATCACAGATACATGGTAGATGAAACAAGGAGAACATACACATAGACATGACATAGGCCGGAGAGTCAGTGGTCTTCTCATAATACTCATTGAGCTTTTGTGCAGTGGCATGCAATGCTGGTGTGAAATGTGAATATTTTGGCCATTCTGCACATGAAGACCAAGCTTGATGGAGAGTCTCAAGTGCAGGGATAGCGAGATGTAGTGTAGTAGTTGATTCTGATGAAAAGGCCTGCTGGGCAATATCTGCATACTGAAACATTAAATCAGCAACAGCACAATATCAAATGATGAAGGTAATGTACCAATAATAGATCAGCAAATTTACCAATGTGGGTCCATTCAGTTGACGCCAATGTAAGGAAATCAATCTTGGCCTGTTTGGTCAAGTCTCACTGTTGTAGACCCATCTCATACACAAATACATTGACATGCTGTTGTCAGACATCAGACATTGCATTATTGAACACTGCAGACTACACTCACCTCTTTATTGCTTTCCGCATGGTTGACCATCACATAGGTTGAGGACCAATGAACCTTCATATCCAGAAGGAGTTGTGTAGGGTGTGAGATGCCAGCCTTGACTTGCACTGTTTTGTAAAGTTCCTTATGTTTCGCAGATGATCACTCCTTTGAACAATTCAGTAAAATGTAATGCGTGAAGAGAGATCAATCACCTTTATGCATATTGAACATATGAGTCCAATCTCATCATGATTATGATGCTTGGTGGTATCTGGCTCATGAGCATGGGGGTTGTGAGGTTTGTAGTGTGGAGCTCTGCTGTATGTACTGATCAGTACTTGGGTGCCAAGATTAATCACATGAGCAAGACAGCTGAACACTATGTGAGCACATATCAACTGTGAAACAAGTGTCTTACTTGATCCTTCATTCATAGCAAGGGAACTCCTTTTTGTGTCACACTTCATAGAGTCGAGCAAACTCCTCAAGCATTGTGCCATTGTTAGAGGCATTATCACAAGTGACATGGCCCAACTATATATCATGATTAGACTAAGCCAAGCAGAATGCAAAGATGACATGCCTTATGTGTGATACTGATGCAATCTAAAACTTTGAACAGTGCACCACCAAGATGCTTCCCATTGTGTGCATTGTTGAGCTGGGTAAAGCCAAGAAGTGCACTTTCGCACTCCCATTGCATTGTTGACTTCTCTTCAATCCAGTGGCCAGTGACAGCAAAATATCCATCAGTGTTGGTGGCTTGCCATGCATTGCAGGTGATATTGATTACTCCACTAACAGCAGTGCTCTGTGTTGGCAGATGAGATGTGACATACATTTAATGTCATCTGGAGTCTGTTAAGAACCATGCTCAAAGGAGAGAGAGACTGACTCAGAGGGGCTTGGCCTCAGCTCATATGCTGTGCCCCTTACCCAAGTATGTGCCCTTCATTTCAGAGGAAGTCCGATGATGGTCCAACAAAGTCCGGAGGACTTCCAGAGGCTGGCTACTCTGGTGGAGAGTGCAGGAGGACTTCCGGAGGAGCATGGGAAATGTCCAGAGGAGCGCAGGAGAGTTCCGGAGGAATGCAGGAAGTGCTCAGGAGAGTTCCCACTGCAAGGTAATACTTCTACAGGAAAACAGGATGGAAGGATAGGAGGTCCGGAGGACAGGAGGACAGGATGTTTGGAGGTCCAGAGTATGGAGGACAGGAGGTCCAGAGATACGGAGGGTGGAATGTCTGAAGGACAGGATGCCCAGAGGTACAGAAGACAGGAGGTCTGGAGGTCCAGAAGGAATAGGGGCTACATTGGACTTCGTCCAATGTAGAAGCAAACAGAGGTAGACTACCCTAAGGTAGAGTCAGAGGGACAGGAAGTGGACCTAAGTCCAGAAAGAGGGTAAGTGCTGGAAAGGCAAGACTCCAGCCTAGGGAAGCAATCCCTAGACTTGGGACAGAGACATAGGGGACAAATCCAAAGGTCCGGAATTCCAGCCTAGGGAGTCCATCCCTAGGCCTTTATGGAAAAGGACAAACTCAGATGGACTGAAGTCCAGAAGAAGATTGGGCAAGTCTAAGGTGATATTCAGACTGAGGACTCTACTGTAGTTGTACAGGGGTTATATACTAAAGGCTATCTGAGAGGATCAGTAAGCAAAGGAGTAAGGCTATGTACGAGCATGCAGAAACACATTGGTAAGTAAGACGGAACATAAGTAAATGAACTCAGAGATGAAACTAGTACAAGGATCAATCAGCAAGATGGAAACAGAGATAACTGAGAACCAGAAAGGGGGAGATGCCTAAATGGGGATAGGCGCAGGATCTCGGACAGGGGGTGGGAATAGGTCCAGAGATCTGGAGATCTGGAAGGCAGGGCGGAAACAGGACTGAGATATGTGAGGTGGTGGATGTAGTCCAGAATCTGAGAGGAGGTAAAGTCTGGATGTCTTGCTGGATGGAATGTGCATAGGGTGGACAGGATAGGGGATCCAGGAATGAGTCAGATATGGGGTCCGGAAATAGGTCCGGAGAGCGTGGGAATATGATGGGATCTATGTCTGGCATATGGGATATGACAGAGTCTCATCAAATGATTCTTAAATATTTGCATGATCTTGGTGCAGATGGCTTTGCGACCAGGGATTTTGACACCATTTGTTGCCCATGAAGCGACATTGATCATCTCCTGGAACTTCAGGTGTTTGAGGGCTTGGATGGGCTAGATAAAGGTGCATCAATTGTTACAGTGCCCCACTCTTTTTCCCATCATCACTGCAGACTCCTATATGGCTGCACTTCTAACACTTCCTTTTCACTGTGCTGTTTCCTCATGGTCTCTCTTATCTTTGACTCATACCTTGTTTTCCCATGAACCTTCCATTTCTAGTACTAGTTACCCTTTGCCCAGCTTGGTCTGTGCATGATTCCTTTACATATATAAACCCTAGTTACCACTTGTATTTCCTCTAACTTGAATCTACTTGGTTCTCTCTGATACTTGAACTCTAGATCCTGCAGGAGTCTAGACGATTGCTCCTGAAGGAGGTATTGACTCGATAAGGCTTAGTCCTTGATCGACCCTGATCCTTGATTCCTTTATTGGAACAACACTCTATCCAAGTTCATAACATCAATGGTCATACTATTAGATCAAGCAAAGCATACATACCTGGTCCATTGCAACCAACCATTCAATTGCAGCTCATTTGAATAACTTATCTGAGTATGGTATGACTCATTCAGAGAGTTTGCATTCAGTCAGATGCAAGTTAATGGTCCGCTGTGCCTGCTTGGCCTTCTCCTTGCGAGCCTTGACATCACCCAGTAACATAGACTCGAAAGAGTTCTCTTTTGCCCATTGTCAATACTTTCCCTACAGTAAAATCATATATATATGCACAATGAATATATGAAAGAAGTTCACACACCGCAAAATTAGCTTCAGCATGACAACAGAGAGTTGTAGACTCATTCACAAGTATACACTGTTTCCTATTAATTTGGTGTGAGTGAGCAAGCACAATCATGACCTTATAGACTTACAAGCATATCTTGCACTTTTGGTGCTTTTTGACCTTGCCATTGGTTCCCATATGATTGAACATTGCACCAAAAAATGCATTGAGATCGGCAGTCTTGCCTTCACATGTTGGAGCTGTGTCAGTGATAGGTTGGACATGAACATCAATAGGAATGCCATCATTGTCAATCAAATCTACATTGATTGGCGCTGATTTGCACAATCTTTTGGCTACCAGGTATCAGTTTTAATATTTGTGAATGGAAAAAGAAATTTACATCATGGATTGGTGTGCACACCTTCATGTTCCTTGGTGCATGCATCTTCATATTCCTCTCCATCAGATTCATCAACAACTGCTTCAACATGTGTCTGTTTACCCATTTTGAGTGTTGCCGAGGTTGCCAGGGTTGAATGTGCAGTGTCACCTGTTGAGCTGGGGGTGCCAGTTTGATCTGTGTTGGAAGTGTGTTGAATTTCAGGCAAACGCCTTGTAGCCTCAGCTGCAAGAAAGGCATTAATAGCCTTGGTTTGGAATGGGAGAGCCGCCTTCTCTGAGTGTTGGAGAAGGGTGGCACTGGGCTTCGTTTGGTGGACTGGCTGTGCATGACATTCGTCATCACTGTCTGTGTGGATGGTTCCAACCATTAGAGACAAGTAGTAGAAAACAGATATGAAAAAAATACCATCACAGATGCATGCCTTTTGTCCAAAAACAAATGCTCTAGTTGTCAAGCTTGCAAATCACAAGAGACTCATAAAAGAGGGCAAATTACTGTAATTGATCTATCCACCAGCAACAAAGTGAGTTATGTCGAGCTTGGAAAGAATGAAGCTCTGCAACTCACTGTCATGAGCTCATTCAACGGAAAGTGAAAGTCTATAATGAGATAGAAGCGGGATTCTGGGGTCATCAAGTGAGTGGTGTTTGCGACACTGCAGGCACAGTTCTGTGTGACATAAGCCGCGGCTTCGGCTTTTCAAAATCTCAGGCCAGGCCAAAGCCCTCACCAAGCCGTGACGTTGGCCCGGCTTGGCCTGGCCCATGGCCTGAAGCCGGGCCGTGCACATCACTAACAGCAGGGCATTTGGACACTCGAGATGCGATTGGGACACTGGGCCTCCCCTAGACTAGACTGTAATGTCCTACATAGAGTACTTCTCTGCAAAGGACAGAAATTGGATATATATAAAAAAGGTATGCGCAATGCAGTGACATTCACTCTAAGCCTGATGTTGGAACTTAGCAAGGGCGCATGGGAGGACCTTACGGATCAACTGTCGTGCCTGCCTTAATCTGACACATGGCACAGACTATGAAAGATGTATGGATGTCTCGTCAGAATCACAGCTTTGGAACTATGGAAGCACAAACAATTCGCAAGCCCATTCGTACTGCCTTTACATCGGCAGGGTGGCGGAGCAGCTTGCCACGAGCAATCATGGGGATTGCATTCTTTGGTGCTCACTCCGTATACTTCGAGAGACTCCAAGGCGTTTTGCTTTCCGATGGCTTGACGGCCTCCCGGGAGTTTGGAGGTTTAATTGATAACTTGATTTCGGAGTGGGAAAAGTCAAACCTCCTGGTATGTCCCGCTGGTATTGATGAGATATATGGGACTGATTGTGGTACCATCAGGCAACTATACTTCTAGGGTGAGGGAGCTTTTTTTTTGAAAGCTGCTGATTGTCTTACCGTGCTCATTCCTGAAGGTCAAATATTGGTTTCTAAGTTTTGAATGTAAGAGAAATTCCTACGAATGTCCTGCAATAGCTAATACATGATCGTCAGAACCTTCATGCATTGCAAAGAACGGCGTCCCTCGCATCCACGCTCTTTTCGATAACTAGTTTGATCACTGGCGTGTCTCACCTCTGGCAGCATCGCTCAAGGTCAAACCCAGGTTATCTTCAAATTGTGAGGTTTTGTGACCCCTTCGCTTGTGACGTGCCAGTGCTCACAAAATGGAACCCATAGATACAATATTTCTACCATCGGTTGCTGATCTTTGACTCGGAGACTGTTTGCATGATAACAGCATGCTTTCTATCCATCCCGATTGTCATGTTACAATGGTTGGCATTGTGTTTCTTGACTGCCCTCATAGCCTTCTCTACCCAGGAGGTCAGCGAGCTAGGGAGTGAATTTCTATCTGCCATCTTGTGTGTTCTCACTATCTGCTTCTTTGGTATAGTGGTATTCTTCTGGAAGTCGTGGAGGGATATGAAGTCGCGGGTGAACTAATAGTTCGAATGGTCACAATTGTGAGCCGTGATGAGAATGTTAGTCTCATGAGGTCTAGTGTATCGCTGTATGTACATGTCCCCCAACACCAACACCCAGAGTAATAGGTTGCGTTGCAAGGACACAACACTAAGGAGAAGTTACACAGCTGCCGACAGCCAAGTGTCCACCTAGCTTATCACAGCGGGCTAGCAGCGAACCTCCCATATCTTTTCCTCGTTAGGTTCCGCTTTCCGTCACTCCCATCGTACACGACCGGAGTACTTCTATCAACTACAAGAAAAAATGCTAGGGACCACCATACTACGAAAGCACCGCCGTGGTCCCGTGAATTAAAGTCGGAGGGCGGGGGACACAGGTGTCCCTTTCCTGGTCAGCAGTGTTCTCCGTAGAATATTTCATAGGAGAGCTGTCTACTGTCAGAAGTAGGCGCGTTTCCAACCTCTAGTCCACCAGAGCATATCATTAGGCTAGTTGAGGGAGGCTACTGGAGACGCATCCCGATGCTAGTATATAAGTCTGTTCGAACGCCTCTGTTGTTCACTACAATCACAACGCGCCTCGTTCTCGCATTGAATTATGTCACGCGTCGTGAGAGCCGCACGATATCTGTACTTTCTAACAACCCCGTCTGCAACTCTATCTGCCTGACCGTCCCGTTGGCCCGAGCCGCCAGGTTTTAGGGCAAGGAAGAAGTGAAATTGGCTTGTCTATTTGGCACCAACCTTTGGGTTCTAACACGTGCAAACAGTCTATTTGCAGATGTACAGTGGAAGTGCGAAGTAGTAGTTGGTCTTGGTAGTTTCAATTGTACCCTACGCTTGCAAACCTGCTGGGAGCTTTCTTATGGCTGACACAGCTCCTCTAAATGGTCCAGAGCTTGACCCTTGGCAGGACACCCGTCCTTTTTCTTCCGATGTCTTAACGAACGGATGCAACCCTTCCGCGGATGATTACAATACCAATGACGTGCCCTTGTCATTGAACGGGATTCATCATTCTACCAACGGAAATACGAAGGCAGAACTGCGACACATGAACTCATCTAGTGACAACAAGAACGCCTTAGACACAGGATACGTGGACTCAGAGAATGCAGCGCGTGAGCCTGAAAGCGGCGTGGAGGAGTCTGAAAGCGGAGAGGAAGATGATGATGAGGAAGGGGAGGAGGATGATGAGGAAGTGGAGGGGGAAGATGAGGAAGGGGAAGATGACTACGAAGACGAAGAGGAGGATGAACCAACTCTGAAATATGAGCGTATGAGCGGGGCGATCAACGACCTTCTCAAAAAGGACTCGGCTTCTGCTCTTGCAGTATCAAATAACCTTCTGGTAAAGCTTTCATTCTAATGTGGGCGGGAAAAGAGTGACCCCGAATTATCTAGGCACTTGGAACGCACAATGGTATTGTTCACATTGTCGATTTAACGGGTAAACGCATCAAGTCGTACAAACCTCATCAAGCTTCAGTGAGTGATGCAGAGTTTGACAGTACTGCGGACTTCGTCGCGACTGCCTCCATCGATGGTAGGGGTGGGTTCTGGCTCGGCCATTAAATTCTAATAACTTCACAATTAGGACAGGTTGTTATTCAATCACTCTCGACCCATGAGTCATACATGTTCGACATGAAGCGACCAATCCGGACTATAGCACTAGAACCTAATTTTGGGAAGAAAAGTACTCGATCGTTTGTATGCGGAGGCATGGCAGGAACACTGGTACTGAGAGAAAAGGGCTGGCTGGGGCATAAGGAAACAGTCCTCCACTCTGGTGAAGGTCCAGTGTGGCATGTACGATGGCGGGAACGCCTAATTGCGTGGGCGAATGACTTGGTGGGTTCACATTGATATATCCTGGCTATATTTACACTGTCCATGAACAGGGCGTCAAGATCTATGACACACAGTCCCAGATGCGCATCACATTCATCGAGCGCCCAGCTGATAGCCCTCGTGCAGACCTTTTCAAGTGCACTTTACATTGGCAAGATGATACGACTCTCCTGATAGGATGGGCGGACTACATAAAGATCGCGTGCATTCGAGAACGCCCTCATACTGCAACCGCATCGGGCAGTTCTAATCAACCTCCTTTCATCGTTGAGATCACCGCCGCATTCCAGCTTGACTGCATGGTTTCAGGGATTGTATCAAACTCACCCTCGATGCCAAGATCCAAGGATGGATCTTCTGCGCAGGACAAAACGCCGCAATCATTCTTGATATTGGCCTACCAAGCACCAGATACATATGGCGACGAAATGACGGAAGATCGTGCAAGACAAGCTCGTAAAACAGCTGAGCGTCCTGAACTACGGATAATCTCTCACACAGGTGAAGAGCTATCAGCCGATGCGCTTGGTGTCACGAATTATCAAGCATGGAGTTGCAACGACTATGTGATGGTGGAGGTCGACGGGTCGAGTTCGCCAGGGAAATCAGGAAGATGCCACGTCGTAATTAGCCCTAAAGATATTGTCATCGTGCGGCCCAGGGACAGGAAAGACCACATCTTGTGGCTCGTAGATCATCAGCTGTATGACGAAGCTCTCGAAGAAGTAGGGAAGCTTGACGATAACGAATGCTCTGCGGATGGCGATCAGTCTGAGATCAGTCCTATCGCTATAGGAGAGCGATATATCAGACATTTGGTGGCTGAAGGTAAAACCATGTTTGATACCGTTTCTGCAGATCTCAGCTTAAAATGTTGTCAGGCAACTTTGCTAAGGCTGCAAGCCTCTGCCCAACGGTCTGTAGCACAGACGTCGAACGTTGGGAAAATTGGATTTTTGTTTTTGCTCAAAGTCAGCAACTGCAGGTGCGTTGACTCTGTAATGTCATGTGTGCGCAGCTTAGCTGTTATTTTTTTCGCAGGCAATCATTCCTCATGTCCCCACGGAGGCACCTCAACTTGGCCACCTGGTCTATGAGATGATTCTTGCCCACTTCCTTGTGCATGATAGGCAGGTATATCATGTGAATGTCCTGGACGTAATTAGCACTGATTTGTTGTATAGTCTCTAATGCGCACTATCAATGAGTGGCCGAAGTCGATTTATGATGTATCCGCCGTCATTGTTGCAGTGCAAGCAGAACTTGACCGATCGCCATCATCATCATCCTCAAGAAGCCTACCCGCACCGGACACTGTCATTCTCATGGAATGTTTAGCTGAGCTGTTTGTGTAACCCATGGAGTTGTTTAATTCTCGCTGACCTCGGTTCCAGTTATACTGCTAATCGACAATACGGAAAAGCCCTCCCGTTTTTCCTCCGTCTGAGACGACAGAATGTATTTGAACTCATCCGGGAACATAATCTCTTCACCGATGTGAAAGATCAAGTTCTATTGTTGATCGAGTTTGATCAAGAGCTCCTTGAGAAGCGGAAACAAGAAGGCACAGAAGCTGAAGCAAGTTCCAGCGAAGCAATCGCTCTACTGGTGGATCATATTCATTCTATACCTGTGCGATCATATTCTCCTATCTTTTAACTTGTCTGAACAGTTGGACAGATCGTTCGCGTGGTTCAGCAGCTCCGTGATCGCCCCTTCTACCTCTTCCTTTACCTAGATGCCTTGTTTAAAAAGGACTCTCAGCTTGGGTTCGAGTTCGCCGATCTTCAGGTAAGCCCACCGGTGATACGAGTTTGAATACCTGTTGTATCGATTTACAGGTTACGCTGTTCGCCGAGTTTGCAACACACCGCCTGATTGATTATCTTCGGGCAAGCACTTCATACAATCTTGAGACGGTCCGTCATTTATTGAAGCTGGTCATATTGTTATCTGACATCCTTCAGGCGTATAACGAGTGCAAGAACAGGGATCTTGTAACCGAGATGGTGTTCTTACTTGGTCGCATGGGCAACAACAAGAAGGCGTTAACGCTCATTATAGAGCGCCTAGGCGACGTGCATATGGTACGTGATTGGGCAGATGAAGACCAACAAACAGTGACATTCAGCAAATATAGGCCATCGAGTTCGCTAAAGAGCAAAGTGATGACGACCTTTGGGAAGACCTTCTCAAATATTCTGAAACACGTCCGAGTAAGCGATTGATGAACCCCAATTTATGCATGGCTCTTACTCTTTGTAGCTTTCATCCGCGGTCTACTGGAAAATGTCGGAGCTGAAATTGACCCCATCCGTTTGATTCGTCGGATCAAGAACGGGTTGGAAATTCCTGGCCTCAAGGAAGCATTGATCAAGATTCTTCATGACTTCCATCTTCAAATCTCTCTTCTGGAGGGATGCCAAACAATTCTCAACGGTGACAGCTCCGACCTTGCCAAGACGCGATCAAAGGGCCAGAATAGCGGGTTTTTCATGAAATGTGCGAAAACTTATTGCTGTACCCACCCCTGCGTCATTGATAAACTCGATGCCTGTTCTAGCAAGATCAATTTGTGTGCTATGTACGCAACCCCTACAACGATTACCACAAGACCTTCTTTTGCTATTCTTGTGTCATCACGTAGTTCATGCCAGCTGCATAGATGGTATGACAGACATTTACAGCCACGAGGAGCCCAGTGAAGGCATGAGTATGCTCGCTAGTGGAGTAAGCGCTAAGATTGCTTTGTGAGTTCACACATCTACATTTTTCTCATTTCTCATTTTGTTCGGTAGCGCTTCTGTGGTACGAGCTAGAATTCATCAGGGTTGTCCTGTTTGTTACCGGAGGAGCGAAGGGAATCTGATGTAACTACATGTTTTGTCTCTCTGCATGATTTACTGTATACCTTGCATTCACGCAATCATCTCTTCTGGATACCATTTTACTTACGCATTCACAACGAGCGCGTTCGACTGCTGGTGGAAGTGCCACATCTCTTTGGTTTGTAGAATGTGTTTCTCGACATGCAGGCATTTCGTCAGTACTTTTGATCAAGCGTTATTTGTTTGATCCTACATTAATGGTATTGATATACATCGCATGTTCTTGTTCCCATCCTTTCCCCAATTCACGCCCAACTTCCGCAACATCTTGCACCTCTGTTGGCTCCTAAAGACGTCATCCATCTCATACAAAAATATGTTTAGCCCGTCACACGTTGTGGCCTGCGTGTAAATGTGCTTCAGCATTGTTAATCTTTCTAGTGAAGTCCCTTGTCCGACCTGCTCTCCACTGGAGATACAGAACTCGTCGAGGTTATGAGATGAAGTTTCACATATGATGATCGCACAGCCTGAAACGTCAAGACGGACGTACGAGACGATGTTCAGAAGTGGTTTCAAGTGAAAGTAAAGCTACTCGGAAACAGGGTAAACATGTTCAAGTGAGCTAGCATATTATAACACAAGCACAGAGGGCTATTTGAACAAAACAGCTACCGTCAAGGTACAAATGAAAACTACTCGAGGATTTCTGTGTTTCAAACTATATGAGTAACCGCTGGCTGCGAGCGCACCATCTCCATGGGAAGCGTAGAGCGCGTTTCAATCTTACTTGAGAGCTGAGTGAAGTGCAGTTGATGATTGTAGACGGAGAGACGGGGAGAGATTACTGAGACACTTACCAGTGAACCAAGCACGTAAGCCGGCCTTCATATCCTCATCAGTCTTATCCATGATGGATTGGTACGACTCGATGGCTGCTCCAACACTACCTGCCCGAAAGAGTGCATAACACTGTTGCTGATTCGCAGTTTGCCACAAGGACTTGAGGTCCCAGCCAAAGGGCTGCGGAAAACACGCAGTTAAGCACGACACAGTGTGCGGTTGCGTCATATCAGCGTACCGCGACAAATTCGTCGTACATCAAATGAATTGGCGATTTGTAAAAGAAAGTGCTGGCATTGGTGGCGGCAGTGAAGTGCTCAACAGCTTCGTTGTGGCGTACGCCATCCAAGGCAATATTTCCAAGCTGGATGCGTAGGTAGGCCTGGTGCACGAAGGGCAAGAAAAATCAATGACGGAACATGAACCTGATATGATCGAGCGCATGGTACTCACTTCCACGACACGACAAGCAACAGGATCGGCATCGGGACACGCGGCTAGCTCTCCGATGCGAAGCATCGCCTCTTGATGTTCATTTGCATTGAACAACGCAATGGCCTAAAACCCGCGATGAAGCAAGAAGTATACTAGAAAATATTACGTGCCTTGATCAAGAAAAGGAAGTGATCTGTCTTCAAATCTCCGTTCGTGAACATGGATGCAAGGTCAAACGATATCCTTGCGGCCAGAACCTGCTTTTGTCCGCAGAAGGCAATGCCCTTGGAGATATGGCCTGCCAACGATGGCTGAATGCTGACGGACTAGACCATCGTCAAAGTTAACTTTTGTAAGGAGGTCATGATGGGTCAGCTAGTCTCACCTGAATTGCATCTTGAAGCGCTCGGTCCCAGTTGCGTTTTCGCGCCATAAAAAATGCGCGATTGGCATAGGCGGTGTGCTTGTTGGTGTCAGTGTCAATATCCAGATTTAGCACCTTTTCGGCAGTAGACCAGTCCCCAGCTATGCACGCGTTGCGGGCTGTCGAGTTCATAGCAAGGGCCTGCGCAAATCGTGTTCACGTTGCGTTATAAGAGTCAAAAGTAGAAACATGCCTTGAAATCAGAGTAGCTTTGAGTCTTGGCGTGAAAAAGACGCTTAGACAATGAATGGACAGGAACATGAAAACAAACTTACTTGGTGCGTCAACTGCTCCTTCATAAGGCCATCATTTGCACCATCCTCTGGAAAAGTATCCTCGGATGTTGGCCACTCTGAGATCTTTTTATCCACACCTCCACTGAGGATGTGCTTGCCATTCGCAGAGAACGTGACGCAGTTCACCTCTCCAGAGTGCTTGAATATGGCAATGGTTTGTCGATCTGAGAGTCGCCACAGGCGGACACGGTTGTCATGAGACGCGGAGGCAAGGAGAGTGCCGCTAGAGTTCAGAGAAATGGCATGGATATTCTTAAAATGGCCCTTCCAGGGATCACCAACCTGCTTCCAGGTCGATGTATCCCACTGTCGTATGGTGGGATCATTCCCATTGCCCCCCAAGAGAAGCCGTGAGCCATCGAGCGTCCATGCGAGTGAGTAATTGAATCCTCCGCCAATCGTTGTCGTCGGGAGAATGGATAGTGATGGAGTATTGTAATTGTACCTCCAGTAAGTTTGGACTATTTGGACATTGTTGTCCGTTGCAACTGCAAGAAGTTCCCGCCAGTGGTTAGATGGCGAATACCGAACGCAGCGGACATTTCCACCACAACTGAATGAATTTTGCACATTGCACAAGTGCTGCCACGTTGGTGCGCTCCATAGCTTCATGGTCGTGTCAGATGATCCACTGGCCAGCTTGCAAGAATCCCTTGAAAAGTCAAGGGAAAATATCCAGCCGTCGTGGACTTTATTAATCACTTGGTTGAGTCGTTCCCCAGTTCTTCCATGCCAGATGATGAGCTCTCCGCTCTCGTCACCGCTTGCTATCCATTTTCCATCTAGTGAAACAGCCAATGCCCACACCCGACTGCGATGCCCCTCCATCTTCTTTAATACTGCACCTGTCTTCAAGTCCCACAGACGAAGCATCCCGTCATATGAGCCCGTGACCATGCGTTCGTCGTGGAGGGTTGCGACTGCGACCACGCGATCTCCGTGATCTTCGAATGTTCGAATGGGCGTAGTGCTTGGAATGAGCGCCGTCATTTTAGTGGAGCTGCAGCGCACTTGAGGTGGACTTGGTGTGCACTGTGTGGGGGGACAGTGTCTTGCTCAAAGTTGCGGAGGTGCGTGTGATGGGGCGTTTTAAACCTGCCCCATAGTATTGACCTCTCACTAGATACTCAAAACATGAGGCTATTATCACAGGTACCTTGATGATCTGAACGAATGAGCTCATGCGTTCAAGTCGTGTTGCCGCAACTTTCCATATCAGTCAACATGGTTGTTTCAGGTGTCCACGCGGCAGACAGGAATACGGTTCACCTGATTCACCTGATTGGCGATGCTCGAATTTTAATCAAGTCGTCATCCGAAGACATAGTGTTCTACTCGGTTGAGCTTCTGTCCCATGGAATGTTCGGAGCGGATCCTACGGTTGCGAGGCTTCCTTTGATCTCTTCTGGTTGTCGGCGTCATGGGTATGTGTGATTTGCCATTGGCATTGAAGATAATCGACAATCAAACTCTGATTAACGATCATCGAATAGGTATTTACTATTTACCCCAAGTCGCTATGGTTGAACGTTGGATTATTTTGGATTCTGGGTTTTGAATCGGCAACTGGAAGACATGACGATCGGATTTCCGGTGGTTGAGGATGGCGATTGGCGATGACCTACTAGATGACCCCACTAGTTCGTGTTTGTTTGTAGAGTTTGAGGCTACTTTGCACATAGAAACTCTGGAGATGTGGCGGATTGTGGCCAGTACCGATAACGGGCTTATCGATCACGGTTGGTATGGGCAAATTGGAGATCAACCGTCGGTGGTACTTTCACCTGTTTACATAATCTTTGAAGAGATCACAACTTTGAGTCTGAACTCAAATTGACTCCATCCGCTTGATTCGTCGGATCAAGAACGGGTTGGAAATTCCTGGCCTCAAAGAAGCGTTGGTCAAGATTCTTCATGACTTCCACCTTCAAATCTCCCTTCTGGAGGGATGCCAAACAATCCTCAACGGTGACAGTTCCGACCTTGCCAAAACGCGATCAAAGGGCCAGAATAGCGGGTTTTTCATGAAATGTGCGAAAACTTATTGCTGTACTCCTGCGTCATTGATAAACTCGATGCCTATTCTAGCAAGAACAATTTGTGTGCTATGTACGCAACCTTTACAACGATCGCCACAAGACCTTTTGTTATTCTTGTATCATTACGTAGTTCATGCCAGCTGCATAGATGGCATGACAGACATTTACAGCCACGAGGAGCCCAGTGAAGGCATGAGTATGCTCGCCAGTGGAGTAAGCGCTAAGATTGCTTTGTGAGTTCACACATCCAGTTTGTTACCGGAGGAGCGAAGGGAATCTGATGTAACTACACATTTCGTCCCTCCTATGCATGATTCACTGTATACCTTGCATTCACGCAATCATCTCTTCTGGATACCATTTTATTTATGGATTCACATCGAGCGTGTTCAACTGCTGGTGGAAGTGCCACATCTCCTTTGGCTTGTAGAATGCATTTCTCAACATGCAGGCATTTCGTCAATACTTTTGATCAAGCATCATTTGTTTAATCCTAAATTAATGGTACTGGTATGCATCTCGCTTACCATGTTCTCGTTCCCATCCTCTCTCCAATTCATGTCCAATGTGTAAGGAGTGTCATTCCGCTGGCTACGGGATTCCCTTTGTACCGCCACTCACTTAGATATAAAAGTCTGTCATTACTTTATGTATCTTCAGTGGATTAACTCCCCCTGGTCATTCATCAATCTTCGTCGAACTCTTCAGCAGCATTATACATAGTTGGCTCCTGAAAATGCCATTCATCTCATACGAACATATGTTTGATCGCACTTAACTCACAGTCTGAAACGTCAAGACAGACGCACGAGACGATGTTCAGGAGTGGTTTCAAGTGAAAGTACAGCTACTCGGAAACAGGGTACACATGTTCAACTGGGCTAGTATATTATAACACAAGCACCAAGGGCTATTTGAACAAGACAGCTACCGTCAAGGTACAAATGAAAACTACTCTAGGATCTCTGTTCCAAACTATATGAGTAACCGCTGGCTGCGAGCGCACCATCTCCATGGGAAGTGCGTTTCAATCTTACTGGAGAGCTGAGCGAAGTGCAGTTGATGATTATAGACCGAGAGACAGGGAGATATTACTGAGACACTTACCAGTGAACCAAGCACGTAAGCTGGCTTTCATATCCTCATCAGTCTTATCCATAATGGACTGATACGATTCGATGGCTGCTCCAAAACTACCTGCTCGAAAGAGTGCATGACACTGTTGCTGGTTTGCAGTTTGCCACAAGGATTTGAGGTCCCAGCCAAAGAGCTGCAGAAAACATGCAATTGAGCATGAAAAATTTTCGGTTGCGTCATATCACCGTACCGCTACAAACTCATCGTACATCAGATGAATTGGCGATTTGTAAAAGAAAGTGCTAGCATTCACGGCAGCAGTGAAGTGTTCAACAGCTTCGTTGTAGCCGCGCACTATCCAAGGCAATATTTCCCAGTTGGACACGTAGGTAGGCCTGGTGTACGAAAGGCAAGAAAAATCAATGATGGCACATGATCCTGATATGATCGAGCGCATGGTACTCACTTCCACGACACGACAAGCAATAGGATCGGCATCAGGACACGCAGCTAGCTCTCCGATGCGAAGGATTGCCTCTTGATGTTCATCTGCATTGAACAACGCAATGGCCTAAAAACCGCAATGAAGGACGGAGTATGCTAATAAAATATTACGTGCCTTAATCAAGAAAAGGAAGTGATCGGTTTTCAAATCTCCGTTCGTGAACAGGGATGCGAGATCAAACGATATCCTTGCGGCCAGAACCTGCTTTTTTCCGCAGAGGGCAATACCCTTGGAGATATGGCCTACCAACGATGGCTGAATGCTGATGGACTGCACCATCATCAAAGTGAACATTTGTAAGGAGGTCATGATGGGTCAGTCAGTCTCACCTGAATTGCATCTTTAAGCGCGTAGTCCCAGTAGCATTGTCGCGCCATAATAAATGCTCGATTAGCATAGGCAGTGTGCTCGTTGACGTCATTGTAAATATCTAGATTTAGCACCTTTGCAGCAGTAGGCCAGTCTGCGACTATGCATGCATTGCGGGCCGTCGAGTTCATACTGAGGATCTACGTAAATCATGTTCATATTTTATTATAGGAGTCAAAGATGGGAACATGCCGTGAAATCAGAGTAAGTTTGAGCCTTAGCATAACAAAGACGTTTAGATAATGAATGGGCGGGAAAATGAAAACAAACTTACCTGGTGTGTCGCCTGCTCCTTCATGAAGCCATCATTTGGACCATCCTCCGGCAAAGCGTCCTCGGATGTTGGCCACTCCGAGATCTTTTTATCCACACCTCCACTGAGGATATGCTTGTCATCCGCAGAGAACGTGACACAGTTCACCTTCCCAGAGTGCTTGAATATGGCAATGGTTCGTCGATCTGAGAGTCGCCAGAGGCGGACACGGTTGTCATGGGATGCGGAGGCAAGGAGAGTACCGCTAGAGTTCAGAGACATGGCGTAGATATTGTTGAAATGGCCCTTCCATGGATCACCGACCTGCTGCCAGGATGATGTGTCCCACTCTCGTATGGTAGGATCAGTCTCGTTACCCCCCGAGAGAAGCCGTGAGCCATCGGGCGTCCATGCGAGTGAGTAGTTGAATCCTCCACTAATTGTTCTTGTCAACTGAGTGGGGAGTGCACGTGGAGGTATGTAATTGTGGTTGTAATTGTAATTGTAATGATATCCGTTTGAAGTGTCACGGTAATTCTGGTAAATTTGGACACTGTAGTCCGTTGCAATCGCAAGAAGGGCTCGATAGTAGCTGTCCTCCGGCGAATACTGAACGCAGCGAACATTTCCACCGCAACTGAGTGAATATTGGTTCTGCCATGTTGACTCGGATGTGCTCCATAGCTTCGTGGTGGTGTCGGATGATCCACTAGCCAGCGCACTGGAATCCTGTGAAAAGTCAAGCGAAAATATCCAGCCGTCGTGGGCTTTATTGGCCGCTTGGTTGAGTCGTTCCCCAGTTCTTCCATGCCAAGCGATGAGCTCTCCGCTCTCGTCACCGCTTGCTATCCATTTCCCATCTGGCGATACCGCCAAAGCTCGCACCCGACTACGATGTCCCTCCATCTTCTTCAACACTCCGCCTGTTTTCAAGTCCCACAAACAAAGCATCCCGTCATACGAACCTGTGACCATGCGTTCGTCGCGGAAAACCGCAACTGCGATCACGCGATCCCCGTGATCTTCGAATGTTCGAATGGGTCTGGTGCTTGGAATGAGTGCCGCCATTTAGTGGAGCTGCAGCACTGTTGAGGTAGACTTTGTGTGTGCGGCAGGATGGCGTCTTGCTTGAAGCTGCAGAGGTACGTGTGATGGGGCGTTCTAAATATGCTTTATGACATTAACCTGTTACTAAACGCCCAAAACATTACACTATTATCATAAGTACCTTCCTTGATGATCTAAACGAATGAGCTCATGCGTTCAAGTCGCGTCGCCGCAACTTTCCATATCAGTCAATGTGGTTGTTTCAGGTGTCCACGCGGCAGACAGGAAGACAATATACACTGTCCACCTGATTCACTTGATTGGCGATGCTTGAATTTGAATTGAGTCGTCACCCAAAGACGTAGTAGTCCACCCGGTGATATGTTGAGCTTCTGTTCCATGAAACGTTCGTAGCGGAGATCCTACGGTTGCGAGGCTTCCTTTGGTCTCCTCTAGCTGTCAGCATCATCAGTGTGCGTGATTTGTTATTACCATCGAGGATAATCGACGATCAGTCGTTTCAAACCCTGATTAACGATCATCGAATAGGCATCCCAAGTCAGCTATGGTTGAATGTTGGATTATTTTGGATTCGGGGTTTTGAATTGGCAACTCGAAAACATGTTGTTGATCGGATTTCCGGTGGCGATTAGCGATGACCTACTAGATGGCCCCACCAGTTCGTGTTTCCACTCTAGCGCACGCAATTCTACACGGAACCATTATACATGTTGCATGTGAGTGTACTATTGAACATAATACAAATTGCATACCAAAGTGCCGGTTCTTGTGCCATGGAATCTGGATGATCGAGTTTGTAGTGTTCGAGGCTACTTTTGCGCATAGAAGCTCTGGAGATGTGGCGGGATGTAGCCGGTACCGATGACGGGCTTATTGAACATGGTTAGTATGGGCAAATTAGAGGGACATACTATGGCCTCAGTGTCAGAAAGCGAAAGCGGTTGCAATCAGCCGTTGCAATGGGTTCAACTTCCAACTGCTTACGTAATATCTGAATAGATGTGTTTTTAAGTCGCCGAGGAACGAGGCGGCATAGAATTTAGTCCATGCGGAGTGGCTCTAGACTGACCACCCTTTTCGCACCTTGCTGCGGTCCACTGTTCCCTAAGGTAGGGTGCTGTTAACATGGGGAAGGCAAGGCTAATAAAGCGGATTGGCAGTGGTTTCGAGCCTGCGAAAGCTCGTCAGGGGGCTGCTGCTACCCCTACCACTTGTACTTCTAGTCCTACTCAGAAAGTCTCTCCTTCTTAAGCCTTTTTTCCAATGGGAGTAAATAAATCGTGCGAAACGGTGTTCCGTGCGATATGGCGGTCCGTGTACCATCTATGATCCATCGATGGAGAAGTTTCACAGATATGGGTTAATTCCTCACCTTCATTTTGTTGCAACCATCCTCGTGTAGTAGCAAGTTCAGCACTAATGCAAAAACCCGGATATCAACACTGCAGTCCAGGATTCAGTGTGATAGGGATGATCAGGGCTTGTCCACTCACAGGGTGTGCGCAATACGATAGTAATGCTCTTAAACAATTCTTGCAGGTCATTGTTTCGGTTGCTCGCACCATCAAACAAAAAGGCAAAGATATCGGTGCGAGGAGGTCCCAAATGCTGATCGGCAACGCTGCGGTAAGAATGAATCTGGCACGCCGCGCGTACTTGACGAAGGAAAGAACACGGAGACCAGCCTGAGGCAGCGACGGAAGGTTGTGGCAAGGATTGAGTACTGGACATGATTAGCACACCTGGAAGAGGTACGAGACACAACGCATACTTGCAAGGAAGATCCCAGAAATATTTCCGAGGACACCGAAGAAATGAGGAAAGTACAACACTATCTACAGTGCCTGTTACGCGATTTGCGCAGTGAATGATAGAAATGACACCATTATTCTATCCCAAGCAGTTGAACTAGACTTGGGATGCCTGATCCCAGAATTAGCTCTGCATGAGGTAACTTTATCGTGAGCAAATGCATCGCATCCAACGAGTGAAACTGATATAATGCAGGATGGCGTACCAGCGTCCAGCACCAAGGAGGTGGAAAAGATTATGGGAGGTGCCATGACAGAGACGGGAGACCAAGCCAGCCGTGCTTCGCGGTCACTTTGCGTCATGCGACGCTGAATACAGATCTAAGCGCAGAATGAGATCAGCTGCAGGCGATGGATGTTCATTAGTTACTGAAGACATAGAAGATCGCGACATAGTAGTTCCCTGTCGGGTAGTCAGGAATTCGGAACCTCAAGCACTACGTCATATTTGTGCTGACGTTGAGAACGTTCGAGCCTTTCAGGAGTGAGATACGTGTGCACCCGCTACTTTGCCGCTACTGGCTGACTTATTGGGCCACTCGGGCATACAGAATACCCACTATCTCATAAATGTAGCTGATGAACCAAACGAGTTAAGAAATCTGTTTATCGTGTCCTGTTCCACGTCAGAGTTGGGCTTTGGCAATGTTGCATCTCCAAATTAATCAGTGCACGTGCATGACTATCTGGAGGCGCAAAAAAATGCGGAACGACAATGAGCCGAACTGGAAGACAATCGGGAAAATCCAGGTGATTTATACCAGGACATAAATAGGGAGAGGTAGTCCTTGAGTAGTCCAGGATGGCCACCACGGATGACCTGGAAAGCAGTATTAGTTGAGATGTAGAAAATGAAGGGATATTGAATTCGATGAGAAACCCACACTGATGACCTAGTGGCATCACTCGTTGCTGGACTAGAGGGTGCACGGCGAGGTCAGGTCAACATCCGAAGCCAGGACAGTTATTCCTGTCGCCGGTTGTTGGCCCGATGGTGGATGGAAAAGGAATTACATATAAAAGCGTCATCGGCACACCAGTGGCGAAAAGTGCGGGGTAAAACACTTCGACTTCTCAAAGCTGGAGGCTTCAGTCAGCAATATCAAATTAAGGCTCTAGACTTCGATAGCACTGACAGTGCAATCAAATTTTCGATAAGCAATCAATTCACATCAGTCCTATGACATCATGACCTTCCAGCCTTTCCTGCAGATTCAACCACACACAGCGATATGTAGACTATTTCACTCACGAACGGAACACATATGAGATTAAATGTTCAACCTGCTGGCTTGACCTGCAGGAGGCCCATTGCAAGTGTATCCACGTCGAAACTGGTGTGCGCCGTACGATCACATCATTCGCTCCTGTTCTAGCACCTGAATCTCCAAATCCTGTGTAACTTCCACATCCTCCTTATCTTCGTCCTGCTGTAACATATCCTGCGGGAGTATTAGGTTCAGCACCAAGGCAACGATGCCAGATACCAAAACTATCATCAATGGTATTAGTATCATGCAATAGTGACAATGTGTGAAACTTGTAAACTGACAGGGCGTGCTTAGCACAATCGTGATGCTCTCAAACAACCCTTGGAGGCCTTTACTTGGGTTATCCACACCATCAAATAGATAAGTGAAGATATCAGGCACGAGAAGGTCCCCTATGCCGAACGACAATGCTGCAGCGAGGATGAATCTGTCGCGCCGCGTGTACTTGACGTAGGAAAGAACGCGGAGACCTGAGACGGCGACGCTTGCGAAGAGGAACGTCGTCACACCACCCAAGACGGGGTTGGGTACTGTAAATAGTAAGTGCCTGGAAGAAGACCAGCGCATAAGACATACTTGCGAGGAAGAATCCCGAGATCTTTCGAGGCAACCGAAGATGATAAGGAAGGCGCAACACCACCTTCCTGCTGTGCGGTTTGCACAGCGAGTGACAGAAATGACACCGTTATTCTACGCCAAGCACAAGATGAGATCAAGCACCGCAATGATAGAAGATCTTGTCACACCTGAGCAAATACCGATAGAGGAGTGACGGTAAACAGGGCAGAAATAAATCCTCCTATCCCATCGCTCTGCAACATGGATCAGAACATCATTGGTAACCATGTCCATGAAAAGACGGACCAGAACACCGCCTTGTATTCTTGAATCAAAATCTTTTCCCTCAACAGGGATACGGGACACTTCCGCAGAAGCAGTTATGTCGCCAATTGCTTCCATTGTCGTTGATACTGACGTCGGCGTTTCATTTAGCCAGCCTGTCCCAGGTGAGGGGGATATGCCTACCGTAAACTGCCAGCATAGGCAAAATAGCTGGTGGGTACACATTGATCTTGAATCGATGTACCCTGCCCAACATTCAAAATTCGTGTTAACATGCAAGAATAGATATATTACCATAAGAATGTGATTGCAGGTGCACTCGTGATGGTGCTTCCGTCAATGTACCCGGCCGCGCCAGCAACGATGCATCCCACCGCAAGCCGACGATGATACTCGCATTCTTGAGGAATGGAGAGCCGAAGAGTTCTGTGAGAATTATGCTCACGAAAGAGAGGAATCCAAGACCTATGAACTGAGGAGAGCCCCATCTGTCATACAAGCGTTATTAATATACTATTTTCAAGTGCGTCAGACATACGGTAAAGCATGGGGAGACCCAACTGTTGGACATAGCTGATAGATCCCGCTAGTTGGGCGCGCTTGACACCCATTCGAACCACCACCCCAATCAAGGATGCCAGAAGACCCGACAAGAGATGCCCCGATCATGAGGATAACGGTGCCTGAGATAGGTGAACTTTTAGACCGAGGCCGAGTCGTGTAATCATACCAGTAACCATGGGAGGAAAAATCCGCTGCAAAACCCGCGGAGGAAGAAATGACAATCCGATCTCTAAAAATGCGCAGATAAGGGAGGTACCTTCACGACGTCGGTAAATTAGCTGTCGCTGGGAACTCGGGATCGACTTACCAAGTAGCATCCCATAGGCATCTGGGCATGGACTTCGCGTGATAGTGCCATCCATAGCAGTTGTCGAAGGACATGTGCCGTTGGCGTACATCATATTGAAAATCTGCGTGTATCTACCTCATCAATAATGTCGCACGCGCAGAACCGAGGCACGCATACGGCATTTGCTGTGCTGAGCGTAGCAAAACTCGTCCCGACCACGGACAAAAGCCCAGTACCAAGATAATAGCCCCCCACAACTTGAAGCGTGACAATTGGACTAAACTTAGAATGCCTGGTTCCTAAATCAGTTCTGTGTGAGTGTAAGTTCGTTATGATTAGACGTACCGGATCCAATGAGTGAAGCTGATATCATGTAGGATGATGTGGCAGGGTCCAGCATCAAGGAACTGGCAAAGATGATGGGCGGCGCAATGAGACCTGCAAGCATCGCAAGTGCGTGCTGCAACCCGCTTGTCATAGCCAGCACGAGCGGGAGCTCGTCATCGATGCCAAAAAATGGCGGTTGTTTGCGTCTAGCTGTAGGAAGAGATGGCAGACAGAGCCATCGATAATCATAGTCACCAAGCCAGCCATGCTTCGTAGTTACTTTCTGTCGTACGACACTGAATACAGAGCGTGGGTTGGGATTGGCAACAGGCGACGGTTGTTCTTTGGTCACTGAAGACATAGAAGCATGCGACATAGTGACGTTGTGCCTGGAGAACCGAAGACAGAGTGCTGGTCAGCGTCCAGGAGGGTCCAGGGAATGATCGGGCTCCGGTTGACCCAGCTTTTATCATTTTGACGCAAGCACATGTGGCAGGCACGGGCGGTCGAACTTCCGAAGATAAGGGCTACGTTATCGAGCTTTGAAATGGCCAATTTAGGTCTGGCCAATGTCGTTGTCAACGTCGACTTGACGGCCGTCCTCTCGTAAATGCGGACCCTAAATCTTTCCTGATTTGGCCACCGCCGCGTCGGTTAAACCTACGTTCTACGCCTTGTCGCAGAGTATCCTCGTCCCAATCCTCGCTGTATATATAGAGCCCAAGTTAGCTACATAAACATTCCCATGTGGTATTGCTAAAAATTGACATATATAGTAGTGTTCCTAAACCTTTTCATGTTTTATTGTAAATTTTAAATCTTCTATTCATGAATTATGATACTTGTAGTCTACTAGGCATCTGGCAAGTTTTGAGTAGTTCAAGCAATTTTGCATGCAGTACTTTCGGTACGAAGGAGACATGTTTTTAAGACCCAAAAGACCTTGATTTAGGGAAAGGTTTACATAAGATGACACTGGCTAAAAAGCAATCTCGAATGCATGATAGTAAGCATATTTGTTTACATAGTAAAACCTGAAAGAATAGTATGAATGATGAAACTCAAGGTTACAAGAGATGAAACGTGTGCATAGACAGGAATTAAGTGAGCTGCGCGATAAATAGAGTCAACATAGATAATGGAAATATTGGGGGAGTGGTTAGGAGCAAACCCTGGACGAACGACCCACAAACCGGTGTCTTTATCAGCGGAGTCGCCAATAATGTCGAACCAACGGATCACTGCACAAGGAAAGGTAGCCCCCGCGTGAAGGAAAAGAAGCAAAGAACACGCGCTACACCAAGTCCTCGCATCCCCTCTAGCAGAACATATAGGAACGCTTGCACGTCAGTTGCCGCGTCAAGGCTCGTCAACGCTGCGTCAAAATAGCTAGGTCCTGATCAGCGTGCCACGGTAGATCCATGGATCCGGCCACCGCCAAACCTCCGGAACTCGCACAAAGAGTGTGGGACCGATGCAGTGATGCCCGGTCTAGGAAAGCGTGCGTAGAATGACGGTCAAAACCGGAGGGCAACATTTGTATGGCTAAACGTCATTGCGTGTATGTTCAAGGGTTGTCAGTTCTCTGGGGTCACTGTATGATCTTCACCTGAATTCCCAGCGCAGGCGCAGCATGAACCACTGCAAAATCCCTGCATATCGGCACGTCTACCCTCCCTCCCTCGATAGAAGGAATCGAATCCGTGCGATGCTCCTATCTAATGTCACTACACATTGCCTTGATCTTCCAGTATACTCTGGCTCTTCCCATTAGATCGTGTATCAGAATCCGTAGTATCTATAGGATGGATACGGGTCTCCTGGGTGATTGTGACTTGGATTGGTCGAGCGAAAGTCGGCTCCGTAGGGTTTGATGCCTCGGAATATGCACTATCTCTGTGCATCAGGCCAAAGCTAATACTGGCGATGAGAAACAGAGGGGTCAATGTCTAGAAGAATGTGAGACTAAAAAGAAGAAGCAACGTAAAGTGCCCACAGCAATCTGGGTAGAAACATTAACTGCCACGCCAAAAGCTTGGCTGGCGGACTCGTACAGAGCGCACGTTACTATGATGCTACTGGTGTAGATTGCGCCGGACTCGATGACGGTATATATGGCAAATTTGTAGGAATTGTGAACAGTTAAACCAGATATATCTCGGGCCGCCCGCCAAAGACGATATGCGATTCCAGACGTGATACTGATAGTAATAAAGATATCAAGCGCGCAACTAGCTTTCGCCAAAGCTACGGCGGCCCTTGAAAAGGTGTGACTGCTTGTCAGCATGGCAAAGTTTGCGGCACCAGTCGCTAACAGGCGAGATGGTTAATGTGAGTGCAGGATCTGATAGGTGACTTAAGTTAACAAGCCTACCGAATTGTGCAGCTTCCAGGATTAGCTAACAGTATCGCCAATCGTAAAATACACAATAAGTAAAATGAAATCAGATCTCTTACCATGACAAAAGCAAGCATCCACTTGTAATTCCAAACCACATAAAGCCTCCAGATCTGTTGTTGCGTGTGTTAAGTTCAACACCTCCACGAGCCAGTAGTTACTCACCAGCAGTAAATTTAAAGCAAGCACCTGAAAAAGTAACGATGAGACGCGATTCACGAGAGAAATATGATATGCACGTTGAGAAGAAACAACGCCCCCATCGCCTTCGTCAAGGTTGTGTCCCTGTACAAGTATATGATGGTTCCATCGGGGACGGATAATATAGAAGGATTTGTGAAGGCCTCCAGAGAGAGAAAAAGGGAGAGGATGTTGTGTGCTGTTGCGATTGAGATGTGGAAAATGCAAGAAAGAATATTGACCCTGATACAAATGTGAATGCTAGCAAAAGATTCAACAAGTAAACATACGAACCAATGCAGCGTTTTGTGCCGATTAAGTAGGGAGTACATGCATATACCAAAAAGCACGCAGCTATTGACGAAAGTAAGCATAATGTAAGCCTTTGCCTTCCTCCGACCCCGAACTCACTTGACACCTGTCAGACCGATTATCAGCACTAAATCTCTACGCAACCCAGTAAAAGGATGCACACCATAGAGTATAGATTCTAACCAAGCTGCAGTTATGAACATGCGATTGATGGGTGGAAGTGCCGAGGCCATTTTCGCCCGAGGAATTATGCCAGGAGCGATACTACGCGGAAATGCTTAGGCAGCTAAAAGCTAACGAGGATTAGGGCGAGGATAGTACTCTGCGACAAAGTTGAAAGTGTAGATCAACGTCTCCTATGCGAAGGTTCTGACGTTATCAGCCCAATAAGGGAATCGAAATAATATTGCACAGCCACGTTAACCCATACCTTCAACTGCTTCAACATTGTTCACCGTGACGAGCAACCATGACGAGAGCACAGGATAGTTTCACTTTTACGGTCGGAAAGCTCGGTAAGTGACTGGCACTCGACGCGTTCACAAGACTCATATTAACTCCAGATGCGGGGATGGCTGTAAGTCCAAGTTCAGTACGTCACCAAAACATTAAGTGACGCGGTGCAGATCCTCCTGGGCGACCGAGCTCACCTCATAGAATTTCCATCAGTACTACTTCCTCCTGGAGCAACAACTGGTTCCATAGTCAACATCGCGGTCCACCAGAATGTGGCTCAGGAGCGGAAACGAGACCATGAATTCTGGTCGCTTCAAGAAGATATCCTAGAGACGTTTGGAAGTCACTCGCCTGAGAATCCGCAGCTCGAGGTAATCAATACTCACTTTATTTCAATCCGTCTCACTCGTTATGTCAGGTCCGCAATGTCACCCAAACCTCCGTCACACTCGAATGGCCACCCATCAAGCTTGCCACCGCGAAATTACGCTCGCTTGATATATACAAGAACGGCCAACGCCTTGCCTCTATTCCTAATGCACTCAGCAACTACTCTACAAAGCTTTCTGGGCTCTCCGTAGATACCCAATACACTTTCCAGCTCCTCCTCCGTACTTCCGCAGGAACCTATCCTTCGAACCTCATCCGCGTGCGCACGCACACGATCGCAGATACAAGCGGAATTTCAGTTTGCTTCGCAAATGTCACAGACAGCGTGTTGCTGGAAAATGCGAAGCTTGCTTTGAAAGAGATGCGCGCAAAGTGGAGCGACAAGATTCAAATCGACACGACCCATTTCGTGTGCACTACTCCTGCAGTTACGCCCTCAGGTGCGCAAGCAACCGGTGGTGTGTCAGCAGCCCCAGGTGCAGAATATCAACGCGCCTTGCAGTTAAGCATCCCTGTGGTTCAACCGCAGTGGATTTTAGCGTGCCATAGCGAAAAGAAGTAGGCATATGCGCGTTTTATCTATCCATGAGCTTCTGGTTGACAGTTCCTTTTGTTCAGAATGGTGCCTATCTCAGGCTACTATCTCGGTGTCACCCCACCTGTGAATTCTAGCTACTCCCAGCGTCCCCAATCGATGTCACAAGCCTCGCTCCCCAGCTCCAGCGCAACTCACAAAAGCTCGGCATCGCGCCAAAGTCTCCCAGCCATACGCCGCTCTACACCACCATCCGCAACCCCGCAACGACAGATTGACGAAGAAGAGGACGAAGAGGAACAACCGCCGAAACCTCCGCTCTCTGACTTGAAGCACAAGAGCAGCGGTACGATGGATAGGAATTTCAAATTCCCGACGTCACAAACCCAAGCTCAAGCAGTCCCACCCGTCCCCTCTCTTCCTACACAAGCGCCTGCTCCCAAGCCCGAGCCCGAGGCAGGTTCAAACCGTACAAATGAAGATGACATGACGCCCGTAGCGGTTGTCGTGCCATCTAGTGTGGAAGTTCCTCCCCCTCCTCCGGTGGAGAAAGAGATCCGGAAGAGTTTTGTGGAGTCTGATGATGGTGAGGAGGAGGTTGGGGAGACGGTTGAAATTGATTTGCGGTGAGAATGGTAGGCTGTTTGTTGTCTACTTATTTTGTGGTGTAGTTTTTCGTGTTATGAGCTTGTGATTTGGCTGTGCTGTGCGAAGATGTTCGACGTTGAGCATAGAAATATCATCGATGTTTCGTTTTGCATGTGATGTCGTATCTTGCTGTTTCCAGAAAACGAAGAAGCGCTGAGATCCACGGCCAGTCTATGATTACCAACAGGAGGGAGATGTAGTCGCAGTACTACCTTGTCATCGATTTAATTTGCTGATCTAGGTTTTAGCATCCAGCACGAAGCAATCGAATTGAAACGGTGGACAGCCACGAGCGTCTACAAAACTACTGCATCTTCCCCTTCGGTTTCATATACATTCCCCGCCCCGCCAGCTTGAGACTCATTCCCAATATACTCAGTACGAGACTGCTGGATCGTATAAGCCAGTGGAAGATAGAACGAAGCGCCCCATCCCTCTTTTGACGGATCGCATGCTCATGCTCACTCTCATCCTTCATGCGCGATGGATCCCTCCCCCATCGTCCGTGAAGTCTGCTTTTTCTTTCTTTGGTCCTGATCAGAAAGGGTGGAATGTAGAGACATCTGGTGTCGTGAGCCTGGGATGAGTGGCGAAGGGACTCCTGAGGAGGTTGTTAGTGCGTCACTGAGGGAGGTATCCAAGTGCGCTTTGTATCTTTCAGTGGGAAATAGATTCGAGACACGTTCGAAGATGGTGAACTCGTTTTAGTTGTGGTTTTACATGAATTGGGCGATTTAAAAGTCAGATTTAATGCGGGTAGACACTAAATTGCCTCCTAGTAGTCTGGCACAACGATTAAGTTAGGATAGATACAAATGGTAGATCTCCGCATATAGTGGGGTAGTAACATACAAAAGAGGGTTATGGGATGTATCGACTGCCAGCGCCGTACTCGTCCGCTGACTTAAACAAGGGACATACCAAAATAATACTATATGCCACTCATACCCATCCACGCCGCACACTCAACACAGACAATTCATACACCCACCCTTCTCTTCTTTACTTCTCTTCCCCTACCTCGTCCCCTGTCATCACCATCCGACTCGTTCATTCCCTTCTCTTTCTCCCTTTCCCTCTCGCGCAGTACACGGATAGAACCGCCTCTCACAACCGGTCTCGTGCGTGAAAGACTACGCTCTTCTCGTGCTGCGCTGCGCGTACGTGGTTTGTCAGCCAGAATACGCGTTTTGTCATCTGCAGCAAGGCGGGTCTTTCGTTCGTCAGAAGTAGGGCGCGTTCTTGTGCGTTCTCGAGTAGGACGTGCAGGGGTATCTGACCCTTGTGGTTGTTCGTCGCTTTCGGAGTCGGAAACAGCGTCTATAGTTGGTGATGCGACGTGGGATTGGTGGAGGTTGGATTTAGGTAGGGATTTGATGCGTGGTTGGACGAGCGTGACTGAGGATATGAGTGTACTGGATCTCGAGAGGGGTTTGGGTGTATGGCTGGGTGTGGATGCTTTTGAAGTGGGTTTGCGGGCTGACTTGGGTGAAGCATCGACACTTGCTTTTGCGTTTACCTTGTCTTTGTCTTTCTTCCTTATACTGGCGCTCAGATCATCGCTGGAGACGGATGCGCTCCGCTTGCGTTTGCGGCCATGGCATCCCCTTGTAGCGCAGGAGACTAGTTTATCGTCGTGGATGGTAGAATCTGCACGGAAACGTGCGCGTTTGGTGTCTGTCTATAAATCTGGAATCAGTGTTTGAATCTGAAAGACGGGATGATACTCACTGTGTGTCTTCCCTCATAACACCAACCATCAGGGGGACCCATATCACCTGTCCCTTCGACACTCCCTCCACAGCAGGACCACAACGTTTCATACGCAGCACGATCGACAAGTGCGCTTTCATCGTCATGTGGAATGCGGCAGGACGTGTCTGTATTTGAAAGTTCAAAGAAAGAGGAGTGACAGCGCACGCAATGGAGTTGTGGTGGCGGGGAGAGTTCGTGGAAGAAATGGGCGAGAGCGGTGAGTATGCGCGGGGAGGGGGGTATTAGTGGGGATCGGAAGTCGGGGAGAGGTGGGCGAGGGTGTATGCATGTAGGGTTTGGGGAGGGACGGAGCGTACGAGGTCATACAGGGCTGTTGAGTCTGTTACCTCGGGTTCGGGCTCGGTCTCTGTGGTGCAAGAATTGGGTGGTGGCGTTGGCAAGAGGGGTACTGGTGAGTCAGTGTGGGAAATTGAGGGAGAGGGTGTGTGTAGTTGAGCGTTGGGTGGTGAATCGGGCTTGCGAGCGAAGAGACTGAAGACCATCGTAAAACGTTGATCTGAGTGTTTCGGTTAAAAATGTACAGTTGGTAGATAATAGTGAACAAAGGAAGGGCGGTAGAAACGATATCTAAGAGCTATGAAAATATAATCAGGAGCATGCACCTCCTCGAGGTCAATGCGTGCAAACTGCCTGTGTACCAAACAATCACAAATACAGATACCACCATGCTGGAACGTGTTTTGTTGCAGAAACTCTCATAACGTTCCGCGATGTAAGCATGCAATTCGTTTCGCGTGCTCCAGAGTGCATGCGCATTGCACATTGCGATATCAAGCTGAGTTCAAATCTTCGCTGATTTATAAATACTTCAGTGCCCTCCTTTGTTCCTTGTCTTTTCCTCAGATGAGCTGCAAGGTCCAACGTCGGGGCGTCTCAGATATCCTCACTCCCTCAGAGATAGACGCTAGCTATCGTCTTTGTCACCTGTCGTCGATATCCTTCTCAGTCATGGCAACCGTCCTTGTTCATTGTTCTCCTTCACTTCTGCACACTCAAGAGCTACTCTCGCCAGCCGATGCTATTTTTCATTGACAAGTGCACGCCCCATGTTTGAAATTCTTGGAGTAACATGTACCTAGGCAGTCGCGTACCCCGCTCGTTCTGATGCTGGCACGCTTGGAGTTCCACATTTAACAGCCTAACTTGTGAAGTGATCACAACTCGCGTCTCTTGCTCTGCTCATTACAAGTCTAGTAACTGAGGGCGTTTTCATTCAGCGGTTCTTTAGTTTGCTTGTTGATTAGCATCCAATCACACCGCACACTCAAGTGCCGCCGTCGTGACCCCGAGCAATTTTTCTTGCTTTTTTTAGTGATACTACTTTGTCTGCCCTCGCCGATCCATTGCTCACAAGTGCGTATCGTTTCCTATCTCAAATACATGCTCGCATACATACAGATTGTCTCGCACGCCTCAGGCTATTGTTTTGGCGCTGGTGAAATGGGCAGAGGTAATTGACTCTCGACCCAACTCACTAGCGCTAAACGTCAATCATTTCTACTCGCTGAACATTTTGTTTGCATTGGGGTGTATGCGGCCCTGTGAAATCCAATGATTGCTCGACCGCAAAGACACCAATGCAAACTTATTGTCGATATCCAGTCGTTACTGTCGCATCCGTCGCATGGGTTCGAGGTTCTGCGAGAAAATGCGAGTGTTGTCAGAGTGTTCTTATCTGGCGCCCCAGGAGTTTGTGGGTACTGGAAAGACTCGCCTCCTGGCACTGATCAGTTGCGAATAAGCACGTGGCATGTGCTGTGTCCCATTCTGAATTGATGCTCATGAATTACATCCAGGTGGTCGTGCACGCTTCGGGCTGTCGTTCTGGCGCTGGTAAGTTGGCGAGTTGCCTGATAAACTTAATTCAACTTGCCAATGCTAGCGATGAACATGCCACACCAATTCCCGCGTTGATCAGTTGCTGACAAGTATGTTTAACATCACACTCTAAATCCATGTTCAAATTACATCAATGCATCCAGCTAGTCGCGCACGCTTCAGGTTGTCGTTCTAACATTGACGAGTGGGGTTGAAATGTCGGATCTATTTTAACTCGCCAGCGCCAGCGACGCACGTGCTGTACTCTTTATGATGCAGACCCGTTATCCACCATCTCCACCTGGTTCGCGGGCGTCCTTATTTGGTGATTCCTTCCTCCTTGCACGATCAAGTGTCACTCTCGTAACGTCGAGCTGTTGATGCGACTGCGTCTTCTCATGGTGACTTATTACTAACATACTTAGGCTAGCGGGCGGTGGCGGACACCTCGAATTGAGTTAGGAGTGATGCATGGTGTTACACTATAACAACATCACTAACTCAACTTCGCCAGTGCTGGCGAAGTAAATGCTAAATGATGTAGATGTTATCTCTAAGTTAGTCTAGGTTAACAGCGATTCCAAGGAGAGCCTTCGTCGATGACCAATATTAGCTTGTATGATGTGTATGTCTCTATTCTGTCTCAATGCGCTCACTTCCCTTCCTGTGTAACTGAATGATTTAGCATTACGGGTATTTTGAATTTCCAGCGGGAATAAGCTATGTTCCGAATCGGCTCCAGCAGGCAAAGCGCTCTTGGGTAAGTCGTCCGTTGCTATCACTATTAATGTGAGGGTTTCTGACAGGTTGCGACGCGTGAGGTATTGCTCTTTCATATGTACTTGGCTAATGAAAGTTTCGCTGACAATGGCGTAGAACAGGTTTCAGCAACGTACGCCGTCCATTGTATGACGAACTTCACGACGCTGCGAGTGGACATTGACGAGCCAAAGGAGGTGCCATGGTGTGTTTTTATCAGTGGCTGTACAGTGTTTTGAGACAAGAGCAGCGGCGAGTCGAAGAAAGCGATCATAGTGAATACTAATATTAATACTGATGCCATCGGCACGGGCTTGGGTGGTCATACGACGAGGTGCTGGATAACCTCCCAATGCACCTATCCATGGCTGTGTCAGTTGGTTGGAGAGGCAAAAAGGGTTGGGGGAGTGTGTACCCGAGGACGATTCAGAGGATGGCATAGGGAAATGTGGTCTCCACGTTATCCTACGGCATTGATAACATTGTAATGGCGGCCCTCGACTTGGTCTTTTTATTTTGTTTTGCATTGGAAAATGACTGCCAATCCATGGTGTTCTTCGATTTGTAGATGTCCATCTTCACCAGGCTTAGCCAATTAGACATGACAGAGATTGTCGCAGGCCCGAAACCTGCTCAACAATATTGATAATCTTTTCCTTTCACCACACCTTGAATATTCACGCATGGATGAATCCTTCAAGGTCTGTCCTAAATAGTCACGGCCAACGACACCAGAACAGATTAGAAATCTGCTCTCTTAACGATTGTCCGGCCCTCTTATCACACCGACATTCGCTCTAGTTGACTCGGGATGAATAGTAAACATCTATTTGATGGTCGTTAATCAAAGTTTGAAATGATCGATTATCTTCGATGCTAATGGCAAATCACACACACCTGGCATGATGTTGATAACCAGAGGAGATCAAAGGAAACCTCGCAACCGTAGGATCTCCGCTGCGAATGTTCCAGAGAACAGAAGCTCAACATGTCGCCGGTGGAATACTACGTCTTTGGGTGACGATTTGATTAGAATTCGAGGTGCATGGCCAATCAGGTGGATCAGGTGGACCGTGTGTCTCCCTATCTACCGCATGGAATCCTGAATATCAAGCTCATTGACTAATGTGGAAAGTTACGCCGACACGACTTCGACGTATGAGCTCACTCGTTTAGATCATTGAAGAAGGTACCTATGATAATAGCGTCACTGTTTGGGCATCTAGTGAGAGGTTAATGCTATAAAGCAGGTTTGAAATACCACATCATACGCACCTCCGCAACTTCGACCAAGACGCCATCCCCCCACACACACCAAGCCTACCTCATCTGTGTTGCAGCTCTACTAAATGGCAGCACTCATTCCGAGCACCACGCCCATTCGGGCATTTGAAGATCACGAGGATCGCGTGGTCGGAGTTGCAGCCCTCCAGGGCGAACGCATGGTCACGGGCTCGTATGACGGGATGCTTCGGCTGTGGGACTTGAAAACGGGTTTAGTGTTGAAGAAGATGGAGGGGCATCGCAGTCGGGTGCGGGCATTGGCTGTTTCACCAAATGGGTGCTGGATAGCAAGCGGTGATGAGAGCGGAGAGCTCATCGCCTGGAATGGACAAACTGGGGAACTACTCAACCAAGCAATCAAAGCCCATGACGGCTGGATATTTTCACTTGACTTTTCGCGGGATAGGTACAACTGCAGCACGCTGGCCAGTGGATCATCTGACACTACCATGAAGCTATGGAGCACATCAACGTGGCGGGTGGAACATTCGCTCAGTTGCTATGGAAATGTCCACTGCATTCGGTATTCGCCGTCTAGCTGCAGTTGTCTTGCGATTGCAACGGACCACAATGTTCAAATAGTCCAAATTTACAAAGATTACAGTTGGGGTCCATTTTCCGCTCGTTTGACAGGAACGATCGGTGGAGATTCAACTACTCACTCGCGTGGACGCCCGATGGCTCACGGCTTTTCTCGGGGGGGAATGGGACTGATCCTACTATACGAGAGTGGAATTCATCGACCTGGCGGCAGGTCGGTGAACCCTGGAAGGGCCATTTCAAGAATATCCACGCCATTTCTGTGAACTCTAGCGGCACTCTCCTTGCCTCTGCATCTCATGACAACCGTGTCCGCCTGTGGCGGCTCTCAGATCGACGAAACATTGCCATACTCAAGCACTCTGGGGAGGTGAACTGCGTCACGTTCTCTTTGGATGACAAGCACATCCTCAGCGGAGGTGTGGATAAAAAGATCTTAGAGTGGCCAACATCCGAGGACGCGGCTTTACACCAGGATGGTCCAAAGGATAGCCTCATGAAGGAGCAGGCGACGCACCAGGTAAATTTGTTTTCCGTTTTCCGCCCATTCATAATCTAAATATTTTTTATGCCAAGGCTCAAACCCACTCTGATTTCAAGGCACGTGCCCACCTTTGGCTCGTATAACGCAATGTGCATATGATTTGCGCAGATCCTCGCTATGAAGTCGGCAGTCCGCAACGCGTGCATAGCTGGAGACTTGCCTACTGCTCAAAAGGTGCTAGATTCAGATATTGACGCTGACGCCAACGATCACAACGCTTATGCTAATCGCGCATGTCTTGTGGCGCGAAAATGCGACTGGGACCAAGCGCTTCAAGATGTAGTTCAGGTGAGGCTGACTGACTCATCATAACTTTCTTGCGACAGCTAACTTTGATCATGGCATAGTCCGTCAGCATTCGGCCATCGTTGGTAGGCCATATCTCCAAGGGCATTGCCCTCTGCGGAAAAAAGCAGGTTCTAGCCGCAAGGGTATCATTTGATCTCGCATCCATGTTTACGAACGGAGATTTGAAGACTGATCACTTCCTTTTCCTGATTAAGGCATGTCATATTTTTCTAACGTGCTCCGTGCTTCATTGCGGTTTTTAGTCCATTGCGTTGTTCAACGCAGATGAACATCAAGAGGCAATGTGTCGCATCGGAGAGCTAGTTGCGTGTCCCAATATTGATCATGTTGCTTGTCGCATCGTGGAAGTGAGTACCATGCGCTCGATCACACTAGGTTCATGTGTTGTCATTGATTTCTCTTGCCCTTCGCACACCAGGCCTACCTACGCGTCCAATTGGGAAACATTGCCTTGGATGATGGGCGCCACAACGAAGCTGTCGAACACTTCACTGCCGCCGTCAATGCTAGTGCTTTCTTTTACAAATCGCCGATTCATTTGATGTACGACGAATTTGTCGCGGTACGCTGATATGACGCAACCGAAAATTATTTCGTACTCAACTGCGCGTTTTCCGCAGCTCTTTGGCTGGGACTTCAAGTCCTTGTGGCACACCGCGAACCAACAACAATGTTATGCGCTCTTTCGAGCAGGTAGTTTTGGAGCAGCCATCGAATGTTATCAGTCCATCATGGATAAGACTGACGAGGATATGAAGGCCGGCTTTCGTGCTGGGTTCACTAGTGAGTATTTCAGTAATGTCTCCCCGTCTCTCCACTTATAATCACCAACTACACTGCACTCAGCTCTCAAGTAAGATCGAAATACACTCTATACTTCCCATGGAGATGGTGCGCTTGTAACGAACGGTTCTTATATAGTTTGAAACAAAGAGATCCCCGAGTAGTTTTCACTTGTACCTTGACAGTAGCTGCATTGCTCCAATAGCCCTCGGTGCTCGTTGGAAAAATACCTGACCTGGACACAGGTATGATAAGTCTACAATACTAAGTTAGTATGAGTGAGATAACTGTTGATGAATGGACATACCCCTAGTCTCGGATAGAAGACTAAGGGTAACAGACAATGAGCGCTTGAGCGTCCAGGTATTAAGTGAGTGTTTTGGGAGTCATCATACGATGAGGTACTGGATAACACCACCCATCCAGGGGACTCATATCACCTGTCCCTTCGACACTCCCTCCACGGCAGCCCTACAACGTTTCATACACAGCACGATCGACTAGTGCGCTTTCATCGTCATGTGGAGTGCGGCCAGACGTATCGGTGTTTGCCAATTCACAGAAGGAGGAGTGGCAGCGCACGCAATGGAGTTGTGGTGGCGGGGAGAGTTCATGGAAGAAATGGGTGAGAGCGGTGAGTATGCGCAGGGAGGGGGTATCAGTGGGGAATCGGAGGTCGGGGAGAGGTGAACGAGTGTGTATGCATGTAGGGTTTGGAGAGGGATGGAGTGTACGAGGTCATGCCAGGCCGTCGGGTCTGTTGCCTCGGATTCGGGCTCGATCTTGGTGGCGCAGGAATTAGGCAATGATTGTCTGGCCCTCTTATCACACCGACATTCACTCTAGTTGACTCGGGATGAATAGTGAATATCTATTTGATGATCATTGATCAGAGTTTGAAATGATCGATTATCTTTAATGCTAATGGCGGATCATACGTACCCATGATGCTGACAATCAGAAGAGATCAAAGGAAGCCTCGCGACCGCAGGCTTTCCGCTACGAATGTTCCAGAGAGCAGAAGCTCAACATGTCACCAGTGGAATACTACGTCTTTGGGTGACGACTTGATTAAAATTTGAGGGGCATGGCCAATCAGGTGGATCAGGTGGACTGTGTATCTTTCTATCTGCCGCATGGAGCCCTGAAACAACCACGATCAAGCTCGTTGACTAATGTGGAAAGTTACAGCGATACGACTTGGACGGATGAACTCATCATCAAGCAAGGTACTTATGATAATAGCCTCATGTTTTAGGCGTCTAGTGAGAGGTTAATACTATAAAGCAGGCTCAAAATGCCCCATCACACGCACCTCTGTAACTTCGAGTAAGAACGCCATCCCCTCCCACACACCAAGTCCATCTCAACTGTGTTGCAACTCCACTCGATGGCGGGACTCATTCCAAGCACCACACCCATTCGGGCATTCGAAGATCACGAGGATCGCGTGGTTGCAATTGCAGCCCTCCGGGGCGAACGCATGGTCACGGGCTCGTATGACGGGATGCTCCGTCTGTGGGACTTGAAAACAGGTGAAGTGTTGAAGAAGATGGAGGGGCATCGCAGTCGGGTGCGGGCACTGGCTGTTTCACCATGTGGGTATTGGATAGCAAGCGGTGATGAAAGCGGAGAGCTCATGGCTTGGTATGGACAAACTGGGGAACCTTTCCGCCGAGCAATCAAAGCCCACGACGGCTGGATATTCTCGCTTGACTTTTTACGGGATTCCAGGGCGCTGGCCAGTGGATCATCTGACACCACCACGAAGCTATGGGACATGAGTGGCTGGTGCGAGCGAAGTTCGCTCGATTGTGGCGGGAATGTCCACTGCGTTCGGTATTCGCCGCGTAGCGACTATACACTTCTTGCGATTGCGACGGACCACAATGTCCAGATTTACAACAATTACTATGACAGATATAATTACAAACCCACATCTCCATTCCCCACTCAGTTGATGAGAACGATTGGTGGAAGATTTAACTACTCACTCGCGTGGACGCCCGATGGCTCACGGATTTTCTCGGGGGGCAACCGGGCTGATCCCACCATACGAGAGTGGGATACATCGACCTGGCTGCAGGTCGGTGAACCCTGGAAGGGCCATTTCAAGAATATCCACGCCATTTCTCTGAACTCTAGCAGCACTCTCCTCGCCTCCGCATCCCATGACAACTGTGTTCGCCTGTGGCGACTCTCGGATGGACGAAACATTGCCATATTCAAGCACTCCGGGGAGGTGAACTGCGTCACGTTCTCTGCGGATGGCAAGCACGTCCTCAGTGGAGGTGTGGATAAAAAGATTTCAGAGTGGCCAATATCCGAGGACGCTTTGCCAGAAAATGATCCAAAGGATGGCCTCATGACGGAGCAGGCAACGCACCAGGTAAGTTTGTTTTCATTTTCCTGCCCATTCATCATCTAAAGCGGCTTTTTTATTCCAAGGCTGAAGCATACTCTGATTTCAAGGCATGTTCCCACCTTTGACTCTTATAACGCAATGTAAGCATGTTTTACGCAGGTCCTCACTATGAACTCGACAGTACGCGATGCGTGCATAGTTGGGGACTGGCCTACCGCTGAAAAGGTGCTAAATCTGGATATTGGGGCTCACCCCAATGATCACACCTCCTATGCCAATCGCGCATTTGTTATGGCGCGAAAATGTGAGTGGAACCAAGCGTTTCAAGATGCAATTCAGGTGAGTTTGACTGACTCATCATGACCTCCTTACAAAAGTTCACTTTGATGATGGCTTAGTCCATCAGCATCCAGCCATCGTTGGTAGGCCATATCTCTAAGGGCATTGCCCTCTGTGGACAAAAGCAGGTTCTGGCCGCAAGGATATCATTTGACCTCGCATCCCTGTTCACGAACGGAGATTTACAGACCGATCACTTTCTTTTCTTGATCAAGGCACGTAATATTTATGTAACATATTCCGTGCTTCATTGTGGATTTTAGTCCATTGCGTTGTTCAATGCAGGTGAACATCAAGAGGCAATGCTTCGCATCGTAGAGCTAGCTGCCTGTCCCAATGTCGATCCTGTTGCTTGTCGTGTCGTGGAAGTGAGTACCATGCGCTCGATCATACCAGGTTCATGTACCATCATTGATTTCTCTTACCCTTTGTACACCAGGCTTACCTACGCGTCCAACTGGGAATTATAGCCTTGGGTGGCAGGCGCCATGACGAAGCTGTTGGACACTTCAATGCCGCCGTGAATGCTAGCACTTTCTTTTACAAATTGCCAATTCATTTGGTGTACGACGAATTTGTCGTGGTACGCTGATATGACGCCACTGAAAATTGTTTCGTGCTCAACTGCGTGTTTTCCACAGCTCTTTGGCTGGGGCCTCAAGTCCTTGTGGCACACCGCGAACCAACAACAGTGTTATGCACTCTTTCGAGCGGGAAGTTTTGGAGCAGGCATGGAGTGTTATCAGTCCATCATGGATAAGACTGATGAAGATATGAAGGCCGGCTTTCGTGCTGGGTTCACTGGTAAGTACTTCAGTAATGTTACCCCGTCTGTCGGTCAATAATCATACATCGCACTTTACTCAGCTCTCCAATGTGATCGAAACGCACTCGCATCGAGCGGTTACTCGTAGTTTGAAACAGAGGGATCCTCGAATAATTTTCATTTATACCTTGACGGTAGTTATATTGCTTGAATAGCCCTTGGTCCTCATGCCATAATATACTGGCCAACTCGAACATGTTTACCCTATGTTTCGGAGTCTCTTTGCTTTCACTTGAAACTATTTCTGCACATCGTCTCGCGCATCTGTCTGGATATTTCAGGCTGAGCTAAGCGTGATTGTTAGATGTGTAATCTAACTTGTTGTGAATATTCCATATGATGATCATACGCGAGGCGCTGGATAACACCACCCACTCGGGGGACCCATATCACCTGTGCCTTCGATGCTCCCTCCACAACAGCACCAGGATGTTTCATGCACAGCACGATTGACGAGTGCGCTTTCATCGTCATGTGGAATGTGGCAAGACGTATCAGTGTTTGACAATTCAAATGAGGAGTGGCAGTGCATGTACTGGAGTTGTAGTGGCTGGGAAAGTTCGTTGAAGAAATTGGTGAGAGCGGTGAGTATGCACATGTGAGGTTTGAGCAAGGACACAGTGTATGAAGTCATCAAGGCTGTTAGGTCTGTTAGGGCTCGGTCTCTGTGGTGCAGGAATTAGGTGGAGTTGGCAATAGAGGTACTAGAGAGTCAGTGTGGTGAATTGAGGGACAGGGTGTGTATGGTTGGGCGTTGATGTTGGTGGTGAATCGGGCTTGCGAGTGAATAGACTGAAAACCATCGTAAAACATTGATCTGAGTGTTTCGGTGAAAAATGTACGATTGAATACGTACAACTGGTAGATAATAGTGAACAGAGGGAGTACGGTACTAGAAACAATATCTAAAAGCTATGAAATGATAATCTGGAGCATGCTCGAAGTCAATGCGTGCAGCACACCGCCTATATACCAAACAATTGCAAATACAGACGAAGCTACTCCCAGTCCCCACCATGATGCTATTTCTGTGCTTCCTCATTTGCATGACGTTGGAACGTGTTTTACTGCAGAAAATCTCATAACATTCTGTGAGCATACAGTGTAAGCATATGCATGCCTTGAGGTCTGGGATGTCGAAACACAGAAATTGAATGTGAGAGTAGGGGGTCCTGTGGGAGGCTCAGGCAAGTCACAAATATCCCTCTAATTTGTCCATACTGACCATGTTCGATAGGCCCGTCATAGGCACAGCTGGTTCCAGAGCTTCTATCTGCAAAAGTAGCCTCGAATATCACAAACTCGACCATCCATGGCACGACAACTACATATGGTATGCAATTTGTATTATGTTAGGAAACCTATATGCAACATCCATAACGGTTCCGTGTAGAATTGCATGCGCTAGAGTGGAAACATAAACTGATGAGACTATCTTAGAAGATTGTCGCCATACTGATTACCATCCTAAACCACCTGAATCCGGGAAACAATGTCAAGATACAACTATCGACGTCACTCTCGTACGTACTCTTCCTTTCCTTTTACATATGCAATCACTCTTCACTACACGCCTGATACACGTTCCCCTTTGATTCTCCGTCTCAATCATGGTATTAAAGACCTCTCCTCGTCGAATATAGTTCTCCAGTCGTTTCACTGAATCTAAAGCCTTCGTTCTCGTTTCGTCGTTCCTAGTCCGAGCCTCTCTGATTCTCAATAAACAACATGTCTTTGAGTTGCTGATTCAAAATCCCGAATCCGAAATAGTTGACTTGGGATGAATAATAAATATCTATTCGATGATCGTTAATCAGAGTTTGAAACGATCGATTATCGATTATCTTCAATGCTAATGGCAAGATGCTGACAGCCAGAGGAAATCTCACAAAGGCAGAACCTCCGCTGCGAATGTTCCAGATAATGGAAGCCCAACATGTGACCAGGTGGAATACTACGTCTTTGGGTGACGACTTCAGTAAAAATCGATGGTATGGCAAATCAGGTGAATCAGGTGAACTGTGTATGTCGTCTTCCTATCTGCCATGTGGACCCCTGAAATGACCACGATCAGGCTCGTTGACTAATGTGGAAAGTTGCGGCGACATGACTTGAACGCATGAGCTCACTCAACGGTTTACATCATCAAGCAAGGTACTTGAGATAATAGCGTCATTGTTTAGGCGTCTAGTGAGAGGTTAATGCTATAAAACAGGTTTAAAATGCCCCATCACATGCACCTCTGGGACTTCGAGCAAGACGCCATCCCCTCCCACACACCAAGTCCACCTCAACTGTACTGCAGCTCCACTCGATGGCGGGACTCATTCCAAGCGCCACACCCATTCGGGCATTCGACGATCACGAGGATCGCGTGGTCGGAGTCGCAGCCCTCCAGGGCGAACGCATGGTCACGGGCTCATATGACGGGATGCTTCGTCTGTGGGACTTGAAAACAGGTTTAGTGTTGAAGAAAATGAAGGGGCATCGCAGTCGGGTGCGGGCAGTGGCGGTATCGCGAGACGAGCAATGGATAGCAAGCGGTGATGAGAGCGGAGAACTCATCGTCTGGGATGGACAAACTGGGGAACCACTCGACCAAGCAATCAAAGCCCACGACGGCTGGATATTTTCGCTTGACTTTCCGCGGGATAGGTACAACTGCAGCACGCTCGCCAGTGGATCATCTGACACCACCGTGAAACTATGGAGCACATCAACGTGGGAGGTGCAACATTCACTCAATTGCTATGGAAATGTCCACTGCGTTCGGTATTCGCCATCTAATTACAATCTTCTTGCGATTGCAACGGACCACAATATCCAAATAGTCCAAATTTAAAGGGGTTGTTACAGTACACTATCCGCTCATTTGACGAGAACGATCGGTGGAAGATTCAACCACTCACTCGTGTGGATGCCCAATGGCTTACGGCTTCTCTCGGGAGGGAACAGGACTGATCCCACCATACGAGAGTGGGATACATCGACCTGGCAGCAGGTCGGTGATCCCTGGGAGGGCCATTCCAAGAATATTCACGCTGTTTCTCTGAACTCTAGTGGCACTCTCCTTGCCTCAGCATCTCTTGACAACTGTGTCCGCCTCTGGCGACTCTCGGATGGACGAAATATTGCCATATTCAAGCACTCCGGGGAGGTGAACTGCGTCACGTTCTCTGCGAATGACAAGCACGTCCTCAGTGGAGGTGTGGATAAAAAGATCTCAGAGTGGCCTACATCCGAGGACGCTTTGCCGGAGGATGGTCCCGATGATGGCCTCATGAAGGAGCAGGCGATGCACTGGGTGAGTTTGTTTTCATTTTCTCGCCCATTCATCGTCTAAGCCTCCTTTCCACACCAAGGGTCAAGCTTACTCTGGTTTCAAGGCATGTTCCCACCCTCGACTCTTATAACACAATATTAATGCGATTTACCCAGGTCTTCGCTATGAACTCGGCAGCCCGCAATGCGTGCATAGTTGGGAACCTGCCTACCGCTGAAAAGGTGCTGAATCTGGATATTGTGGCTCACCCCAACGATCACACCGCCTATGCCAATCGCTCATTTGTTATGGCGCGAAAAAAGGACTGGGACCAAGCGCTCAAAGATGCAATTCAGGTGAGACTAGCTGACCCATCATGACTTCCTTGCAAAAGTTCACTTTGATGATGGCATAGTCCGTCAGCATTCAGCCATCATTGGTAGGCCATATCTCTGAGGGCATTGCCCTCTGCGGCAAACAGCAGGTTCTGGTTGCGAGGATATCATTCGATCTCGCGTCCATGTTCACAAACGGAGATTTAAAGATGGACCACTTCCTTTTTTTGATCAAGGCACGTAATATTTTTCTAATATACTCCGTTCTTCATTGCAGTTTTTAGGCCATTGCATTGTTCAATGCAGGTGAACATCAAGAGGCAATGCTTCGCATCCGAGAACTAGCAGCGTGTCCCAATGTCGACTCTGTTGCTTGTCATATTGTGGAAGTGAGTACCATGCGCTCGACCACACCACGTTCATGTAGTGTCATTGATTCCTTTTGCCCTTCGTACACCAGGCCTACCTACGCGTCCAACTGGGAAACATTGCCTTGAATGGCGTGCGCCACGACGAAGCTGTTGGACATTTCAATGCCGCCGTGAATGCTAGCATTTTCTTTTACAAATTGCCAATTCATTTGATGTACGACGAATTTGTCGCGGTACGCTGATACGACGCTACCGAAAATTGTTTCGTGCTCAACTGCGTGTTTTCCACAGCTCTTTGGCTGGGACCTCAAGTCCTTGTGGCACACTGCAAACCAGCAACAGTGTTATGCACTCTTTCGCGCAGGAAGTTTTAGAGCAGCCATCGAATCGTATCAGTCCGTCCTGGATAAGACTGATAATAGTCTGAAGGCCGGCTTGCGTGCTTGGTTCGCTGGTACGTATTTCAGCAATGTCTCCCTGTCTCTGCATCTATAATCATTAACTACACTTAACTCAGCTCTCAACTAAGATTGAAATGTGCTCTACGCTTCCCATAGAGATGGTGTGCTCAGTTGGCGGTTACTTATTTAGTTTGAAACAGAGATCCTCGAGTAGTTTTCATTTGTACCTTGATGGTAGCTGTATTGCTCAGATACACCACTCACCCGGGAGACCCACATCACCTGTCCCTTCGACGTTCCCTCCATAGCAACCCCACAACGTTTCATATGCAGGACGATCGACGAGTGCGCTTTCATCATCATGTGGAATGAAGCAGGATGTATCGGTGTTTGACAATTCAAAGGAGGAGTACTAGTAGCAGCATACGCAACGAAGCTGTGGTGGCGTGGAGAGTTCGTGGAAGAAATGAGTAAGAGTGGTGAGTATGCATGGGGAGGGGGATCGGAGGTTGGGGAGAGGTGAGCGTGTAGGGTTTGGGGAGGGACGGAGCATACGAGGTCATACATGAAGCTGTTGAGTCTGCTACCCCCAGCTCAGGCTTGGTAGTGCAGGAAATTGGATGGCGGAAGGGTACTGGTGAGTCCTAGTATGGGAAATTAAAGGAGAGGTGTGTGTAGTTGGGCGCTGGGTGGTAAATCGGGCTTGCGAGTGAATAGATTGATGACCATTGTAAAAGGTTGATCCAAGTGTTTCGGTTAAAATTTTACAGTTTGTAGATAGTAGTGAAAAGGCCCTAGCTAGGACGGTAAAAATGATATCTAAAACCTATGAAATTATAATCTGAAGCATGAGGTCAATTAATGCGGCGTCATCGCCTGTATACCAAACAATCACAAATACAGTTCAAAGCTGTCTCCGCTTCCTATTTCCATGATGCTGGGACGTGAAATTTAATGCAGAAATTCTCATAACATTCCACGGGATCATATGTTCATCCAATTTGTTTCGCGTGCTCCAAAGTGCATGCACATTGTACATTGTGGCATCAAGCTGAGTTTGAAATCTTCGCTGACCTTCAGTGCCAACTTTCTCCCTCCTTTGACCCTTGTCTTTTCCTCAGATGAGCTGTAACGTCCAAGGCCGCTGAGACGGGCGTCTCAGGTATCCTCACTGCTGCAAACATAAACGCGGGCTACCGTCGATATCTCTCTCACTTATGGCGGCCGTCCTTATTGTTCTCCTTCCCCCCTTCTGCACACTCAAGAGCTACTCCTGCCCACCAATGCTGTTTTCCATTGACAAGTACGTGCCCCATGTTTGACACTCTCGGGTGACATATACACCTAGGTAGTCGCATACCCCGCTCGTTTCCATTCTCAACAACCTAACTTGACTAGCGATTACAGTTCACGTCTCTTGCTCTGTTCCTTACGAGTTTAGTAACTGAGGGCGTGATCATTCAGCGGTTCTTAAGTGTGATCGTTGATTAGCATCAAATCACACCATACGCTCGAGTACCAATGTCATGACCCCGGGCAGTTTTTCTTTTTTTGTCTTTCTTTCTCTAGTGATGCTACTCTATCTGCCCTCACTGATCTATTGCTCACAAGTACGTGTCGCTTCCTATCTCAAATCCATGCTCATATATATGGAGGTTGTCTCGCATGCCTCAGACTGTCATTTTGGTAATCGCCAATCACTGCAGTTCCCGCGTTCCTGAACATCTCGTTTGCATTGGGGTGTATTCGGCCAGGTATTTCCAATGATTGCTCGACCGTGAAGACACCAATGCAAACTCGTTGTCGGTATGCAGTTGTTACTATCGCATCTAAGGCCAGATGGATTAGGTTATGCGAGAAAATGTGAGTGTTGTCAACATGTTCTTATTCAGCGGTCCTTGATATTGTGGTGGGTACTGGAAAGACTCGCCTCCTGACGTTGATCGGTTCCGAATAAGTGCGTGGTACGCGCCATGTCTCATTCTCAATCAATGCTCATAAATTGCATTCAGGTGATCGTGCTTGCCTCAGGCTGTTGTTCTGGGCGTTGGTGAGTTGCCTGACAAACTACAGGAAACTTAGTCCAACGCGCCAATGCCAGCAATGAACATGCCACTCCAATTCCTAGGCCGATCACTTACCGATAAGTACATGCAACATCACATTTTAAATACATGTTCATATTAAATGCATCCAGATAGTCGCGTACACTTCAGGCCGTCGTTCTGGCATTGACGAGTGGAATCGAAATTTTGGAGGTGTCTAACTTGCCAGTGCCACGACACACATGCCATACTCTTTATGACGCAGGCCCGCTATCCCCTGGTTTGCAGTCCTGTCAGGGGCATTATAATTTGGTGACTCCTTACGTTCTCTCCTTGCACGCTCAAACACCACTCTCATAACATCGAGCTGTTGATGCGACTGTGCCTTCTCATGGCGATTCATTGCTAATATACTTAGGACCTAGGGTGGCGGGTAGTGGCAGACACCTTGTTCTGACCTCGGCAAATCGAGTTAGTAATATGGTGCATAGTGCTATATGTCATACTTACAACATCGCTAACTCAACTTGCCAGCGCTAGCGAAGCAAATGCTAAATGATGTAGACCATCATCTTAAGGAAGATTTTAATCTAGGTTAACTCCAGGATGTCAGCGATTGCCTCCAATGCCAGGAGAGCCTCCACCGTTGCTTGTATGACGCCTACGGTCGACTCAGCATACGCTATCGCCCACCCTGAACTACTAGCTGCTATCTCATCACCCAGCCCCACACCAAAAACAGGAACAGATATCGAAGATACGCCGCCACAATTAAATGTCTCACTGCACTCATCCATGTCTCATTTGCCTTCTTGTTTAGAACAATTTAGCCTTACGGGTAAAGCAATGGCGGTAGCCATTGAACGACAATGAGCCCAATCATAGACAACAAGGTGTATTATTCTATGGCTGCAGCATCAGCGAAGCTACATGCATGATCAGAACGCGCACTGTCCATCGTGTGACAAACCCCACAATGTTGCGAGTAGATATTGAGGAGAAAATGTACCACAGTGGGTTGTTGTCAACGGGTACACAAAGAAACTGTTAAGACGCGGTGGCCTGCGGACTGTCCTGGAGGTTAGTGTAAGAGGTAAGGCTGAATTTTTCACGTTTATGTCGATGTTTTTAGCTTGCGCTTGTGTCTGAATGGCGTCCGAGCTGGTAGGGTGCATAGAGCTTGGAAACGGATTCATTTCTTCGTCATTCTCATTTGACCAGCAGATGACCAGGACATTTGAAGTTCGGGCACTACCGCCTGCACCATGATTATTTAACGATGGACCCGTGATGATCATGTCAAAAAGATATCGAGATGAAGACAGGCACGCTAGATATCAGAAGTGATGAATCAAAGACAGTGACTGCCAGCTTTTTTTTCGAGACATTGAAGCAAATACTAACATTGACAGTCGGTACAGATACGGCGAGGCTCAGGGCAACCTCCTAACGCACGTCTTCAAGGCCATCTCGGTTAGTTGGTGAGGCGAAAATGGGTTGGATGACTTGAGAACGGTTGAGGAAGGGCGATCTTCATATTGTCCTAGTGTCAATAACAACTATTTCTGCATCCCCTGGTGTCCGATGCAGATCCGCAACAGAGAGCGAGTAATGAAGAAAGTTGAATGCTACAGCATACCCAACTGTTCTGATTCCAACACTTCGGATCATCCAAAATACGCTACCCAAAATAGAGGACACAACAACACTGGCATGTGCGACCACTGCTTACATTGTAGTGTCCATTCCTTTCTATCATTGCCAGCCTCTGGTAAAATCAACTCTCATCTGAACTTGCCGAACTGAAAATCTTCAAAACGACCAATATCAGAGCCCTACAGCAAATGAGGAGAGCACCGCACCTTCAAACGCACCAAGAAATACTTCTCCAGTACTTCTGTTTCGATCATGGAAACATAGGCATGGCTTCTACACCAACGAAGACAATCGATTCTGAAACCGGCAGCGACTTTGAAGGGTGGATACACATCCATATCCTACTGTCCAGATGACAGGCAAACAATCAGCTGATCTTATGACAGGACCGCTCATAAATGGGACATGTAAGGAGATTGAGGAGGCACAACATGTTTATGAGAAGGTATGTGCGGTGGCGGTACCAAGGGATGGTCGACGGGTTGTCACTGGTGGTGGGGATTGCGATTGTGCAGAGTTGAAAGGCTGGGAGATTGAGACTGGGATTGTTAAAAAATTTCAAGGACACTCAATGGAGATCAGCTGCATTGATATCTCTGCGGACAGCAAGCTACTAGCGAGCGGGGCAGGAGATGTGGCACGAATATGGAACCTGGGCACTGGCAAACAGGTGGCTGGACCATTCGAGACCGTTGATTGTGTGGGCACAGCTCGATTCTCAACAGACTCAAAGAAGGTTGCAGTGAACTTGTGGACGGGGAGCCGCCTTGAGGTCTGGGATATCGAAACACAAAAGTTGGATGTGAGAGTAGGGGAGTCCCGTGGAAGACTCGGACGAACTACAAATGTGCCCGTGTTCTGGACAAACAGAAACAAAAACATTATAGCTACATTCACCTTCACGGATGACCACGCCAACACGATCTATGAGTTTGACACGTCGACGCTGGAGACTATCGGATCTCCCTTTGAAGGGCACACCAAACTTATCACCGGTCTGGCACTTTCACATGATGGCGTTGTCCTTGCTAGCGCTGCCGGAGACGACACCATCAAGCTCTGGGCTGTCGAGTCCCGCCAGCTCCTCGCTTCCTTCGACGTTCAGAACCCTTTTACCCTTATCTTCTCACCTGACGCACGTCAACTAGTTTATACGACTTATTCCGCGATCATTGTATGCAACACTCCTCCTGACATCCTTGCTAGTGTACGCATTTGTCACGTAAATTTCTCGTGTGTGCGCTAACACTTCCTTACTTACAGGCACGTAAAAGGGCAGCCCTCGGTAATCTACTAAATGTACGCGCCTCGTTGTTTAATTCATTACACAACTTATCCATCACCATTGCAGTCCGACGCAACTCGTCGACCTCCTGCCTTGCCTCGCAATCTACTGATATTGCCTAGTCCACAAAGACCTCTGTCTACTGTAAACACGCAGCAACCCATCTTCCTTCGCCTCAGCAACCTCCTTCACTTCACTTCTCGCACGAATGCAGTTCCCAATGTCCAACTTCGTAATCCACTAGATGTAGGTGCTTCAATTATCCTGGTTCTTTCTCTGTTGACTTGACAATGGAACCACAGGTCCCTGCTACATTGCCCTTACCATCCTCGCTCTCGGGACAGGCCGCACCTCAGTTTGATCATATCAGTCTTTGATCTTTAGTAAACTGGCAATCAATGACTGACTATGTATACAGTTCGAAATAAGTTCTCCACCTCGCACCTCGAATGCTCCAGTCACACAGTTTCTACGACAGCACCTGTCGTTTCTCGTGCCAAGACATAGCCATGTGCAACCAGTTGTTGAAGTTGCACCGGGACGGAAGTTCACTGTAATGTATATTTCTTTACCTCTTAGTGCTTTCTGCTGATTTGTGCCTTACAGCGGCTTGCTGCTGCCAATTTCCCAGAATATAGGAAAGTCGATGACACCCGACATCTGTCTGGACAGCAGGCGGGAGTGCCGCAGGATGTCGACACATCTGACATTGATTCACTCCCAGACGTGCATTGGGTCAAGGCGTTCCTGTGCTACTATTCATGCTGGTCCCATGGCAGACTGAGGAAGCCTCCTCGATGGCGCTTGGAGCGTGTTGATATACCCCGTCGGGATAGCACGACAAATACTAGTAGTGGACGTAATGGTGCTCATGGTCGCAGTTAACTTCGTGTGCACTCATCCATGTTTGTTGTATCCTCCGTAAGAGATGATTTCATACTTATAGATCAATTCTACACCATCTGCGATACTCAGCGCACTTGCCACATCCCATCACAAGATGAACTTGCTTGATTTGAATGATCCTTCCGTGTAATTCACTTCCCGCTGGTCAAGATTGAGACATTCGTCTTGCTCAGTGTGTAATTTGAATGTCTCATTAACATTGCTCTATGAAACGGTCACATAAGGTTGACATTGCGTAATTGAAATACAAACATCACGTCAACAACTTGTCAACAAACTTCGATAAGGCCATTTTGTCCCTTCCAATTTGCTCATACCAACCATGTTCGAAAAGCCCATCAACGGTACTGGCCACATCTCCAGAGCTTCAGCCTCGGACACCACAAACTCGACTGTCCATGGCACGAGTCACATATGGTATGTAATTTGTATTATGTTAGTAAACCTACATGCAACATACATAATGGTTCCGTGTAGAATTGCATGTGCTAGAGTGGAAATAGAATCTGGTGGGACCATCTAGTAGGTCGTCGCCATACTGATCGACATCTACAACCACCGGGAAACAACATGTCTTCGAGTTGCCGATTCAACACCCCGAATCCAGAATAATCAAACGTTCAACTATAGCTGATTTGGGATACTATTCGATGATCGTTAATCAGAGTTTGAAACGATTGATTGTTATCTTCAACGCTAATGGCAAATCGCATATAGCCATGATGCTGATAACCAGAGTAAATCAAAGGATGCCTCGCAACCGTAGAATCTCCGCTCCGAACGTTCCAGGGAACATAAGCCCAACATGTCACCAGGTGGAATACTACGTCTTTGGGCGATGACTCAATTAAAATTTGAGGACATGGCCAATCAGGTGAATCAAGTGAGCTGTATATCTTGCCTTCCTATCCGCCGCGTGGACCCCTGAAATGACAACAATCAGGCTCGTTGATTAATGTGGAAAGTTGCGGCGACACGACTTGAACGCATGAGCTCACTCGGTTAGATCATCAAGCAAGGTACTTATGATAATAGCATCATTATTTAGGCGTCTAGTGAGAGGTTAATGCTATAACGCAGGTTTAAAAATGCCCCATCACACGCACCTTTGCAACTTCGAGCAAGACACCGTCCCCCCACACACACCAAGTCAACCTCATCCGTGCTGCAGCTCCACTCAATGGCGACACTCATTCCAAGTACCACACCCATTCGAACGTTCGAAGATCACGGGGACCGCGTGATCGCAGTTGCGGTGTTCCGCGACGAACGCATGGTCACGGGCTCATATGACCGGACGCTTTGTTTGTGGGACTTGAAAACAGGCGTAGTGTTGAAGAAAATGGAGGGGCATCGCAGTCGGGTACGGGCGTTGGCTGTTTCACCAGATGGAAAATGGATAGCAAGTGGTGATGAGAACGGAGAACTCATCGCCTGGCATGGAAGAACTGGGGAACCACTCAACCAAGCAATCAAAGCCCACGACGGTTGGATATTTTCGCTTCACTTTTCACACAATTCCGGAACGCTGGCCAGTGGATCATCTGACACCACCACGAAGCTATGGTGCACATTGACGTGGCTGGTGCAAAATTCACGCAGTTACGGTGGAAATGTCCGCTGCGTTCGGTATTCGCCGTATACTACGAATTATCAATCACTTCTTGCGATTGCAACGGACCAAGATGTCCAAATTTACAATGACCGTGAAAATGACACAAATCGACTCCGCTGCGTTTCGTCCTTCAGAACGATTACTGGAGGATTCAACTACTCACTTGCGTGGACGCCCGATGGCTCACGGCTTCTCTCGGGGGGTCACGGGATTGATCCCACCATACGAGAGTGGGATACATCGACCTGGAAGCAGGTCGGTGAACCCTGGAAGGGCCATTTCAAGAATATCCATTCCATGTTTCTGAACTCTAGCGGCACTCTCCTTGCCTCAGCATCTCATGATAACCATGTCCGCCTCTGGCGAGTCTCAGATCGACAAACCATTGCTATATTCAAGCACACTGGGGAGGTGAACTGCGTCACATTTTCTGCGGATGACAAGCACCTCTTCAGTGGAGGTGCGGATAAAAAGATCTCAGAGTGGCCAACATCCGAGGACGCCTGGCCAGAGGATGGTCCAAGTGGTGGCCTCATGAAGGACCAGGCAACGCACCAGGTAAATCTGTTTCAGTTTCTCGCTCATTCATCATTTAAGCGTTTTTTTATGTCAAGGCTCAAGCCTACTCTGATTTCAAGGCATGTTCCTACCCTTAACTCTTACAACACAATGTGATCATGATTTGCACAGGTCGTCGCTATGAAGTTAGCAGTCCGCAATGCGTGCATAACTGGGGACTTGCCTACTGCTGAAAAGGTGCTAGATCTAGATATTGACGCTGACGCCAATGATCACACCGCCTATGCCACTCGCGCATTTGTTATGGCACGAAAACGCAACTGGGACCAAGCGCTTCAAGATGCAGTCCAGGTGAGACTTACCGACCCATCATGACCTCCTTACGAAACTTAACTTTAATGATGACATAGTCCGTCAGCATTCAGCCATCGTTGGCAGGCCATATCTCTGAGGGCATTTCCCTCTGCGGAAAGAAGCAGGTTCTGGCCGCAAGGATATCATTTGATGTCGCATCCATGTTCACGAAGGGAGATTTGAAGACCGATCACCTCCTTTTCTTGATCAAGGCAGGTGATATTTTTCTAACATACTTCGTCCTTCATTGGGGTTTTTAGGCCATTGCGTTATTCAACGCGGAAGAACATCAAGAGGCAATGCTTCGCATCGGAGAGCTAGCCGCGAGTCCCAATGTCGATCCTGTTGCTTGTCGTATTGTGGAAGTGAGTATCGTGTGCTCCATCGCACCAGGTTCATGTGATGTCATTGATTCCTTTTGCTCCTTCGTACACCAGGCCTACCTACGCATCCAACTGGGAAACATGGCCTTGGATGGTGCGCACCATAATGACGCTGTTGAACACTTCACTGCCGCCGTCAATGCTAGTGCTTTCTTTTACAAATCGCCGATTCATCTGCTGTATGACGAATTTGTCGCGGTACGCTGATGTGACGCCACCGAAAATTGTTTCGTGCTCAACTTCGTGTTTTCTGCAGCTCTTTGGCTGGGACCTCAAGTCCTTGTGGCACGCCGCGAACCAGCAACAGTGTTATGCACTCTTTCGAGCAGGTAGTTTAAAAGCAGCCATCGAATCTTATCGGACCATCATGGATAAGACTGATGAGGATATGAAGGCCGGCTTTCGTGCTGGGTTCACTGGTAAGTATTTCAGTAATCTCTCCCCCCGTCTCTGCATTTATAATCGTCAACTGCACTTCACTCAGCTCTCAAATAAGATCGAAACGCGCTCTACGCTTCCCATGGAGGTGGTGCGCTCGCAGCGAGCGGTTACTCGCATAGTTTGCAACGTAAAGATCTTCTTGTAGTTTTGATTTGTACCTTGACGGTAGCTGTATTGCTCGGTGGTCGTGTCATGATAGTGGCCCACTTGAACATGTTTGTCCTATGTTTCCGAGTCTCTTTGCTTTGGGTTAAAACTACTTCTGAACATCGCCTCCCGCATATGTCTTGGTGTTTCGGGCTGAGCTAAGCGCGAGTATCATATGTGTAATCTAACTCGTCGTAAATATTTCATACAAGATATTGATCTTCCTGCACCCTGCCCGTCCCAGTGATAACCTGGTCCTAAGCCTTATCAAAGCCTTGCATAACTGATCTCTGACCTGATAACTCAAAAATGAGTTCTATGGTGTCGGAGTGAAACTTTATCCGATAACCACAACGAGTTCCGCATCTCCAGTGGAGAATAAGACAAACGAGTACGGTGGACTATGTGTATCAGGTTAGTTTTCCAAATGCGATAATTATTTGTTGTATTCCATTGTTTGTGTATTAGTAAATACGGTGGCTGTGGTTTCATTTCCCCACAACACCCACCACCATCGAAGCTCGTCGTCGCCATCAGTGTGCTCGTCGTCACCACTAGCGTGCCCGTCATCGTGGTGCCGCACTCGGCATTACCTTTCGCCGCCGTGGACTACTTTTCACTCCACGATCATCAAGTTTGTCTATCTTAAAGTAAGTAGATAATATTCTTACGTCTTTTGGCTCATGGCTTTACTTCACAGTTCCACGTTTCGGGGCCACCGTGTTAGTGCAGGTGGATGATACCGGGCAGGTATAAAATCTGCTCTTGTACAGTACTAGGTGCGTACACTCTTACCGTTATATCCTGTATTCTTCTCATGGACTCCCATGATGCAGATGAGGCTCTGAATGAAGATGAGCCGCAGACTCTTCCTGCGGAGGGAAATGCCTGTACCTCTAGTCGTGTCCCAAACCCCGAGGGCAAAAATCAATATCAGCATTGTCGTGAGTTGTGTCGCATCAATATACTAACATTATACTAATTTCTACACTGATAGCTCGAAAGAATGATCCATTCCTCCGGAAAATTCTTACCCAGTATCACCATGATAATATCACGAATAGGTCAAAAATCAGTCGTCTTCTCCAGGCAGAGCATGGTATAGTCATGAGGTGAATTTAACTGTGTGTTCTGCTAGTGTGTGCTCATGCTTTGCCCATAGTGAAGCAACTGTTGCGCGACGCCGGCAGCAATTCGGACTCCTTGGAAGTGGGCAGCTGACTCGCTTGCTTCCACGGTCAATCAAGCGGCAATTGGTGCTCGATCAGCTCGCACGGGATCCCCTTCACCGCCGTGGGCCCCGTTTAGTCCGGGAAGCAATTGTGGCGGACACTGGTAATCTACTGACAAGGTAATGTTATCATTATAATGTATTGATTTATACAAACTAATTTGGAACAAGGAAATATGTGACGGACGAGATGAGGCAACATGAGCCGGACGGGTTTGCCCAACGGGGACTTTCGAAAAAGAAGATTTCTCGTCAGCCGCTAGTCTCGCTTGGTCCCCATCACCAATGG